AATAAGCTTATGAAATATGTGTGTTAATCGATCGGATACAGTAAAATTTTATTCTGTTGCAGACTCAAGAAATGCCATTTTCCCGCCAAACTGGTTTGCGGAGTATCTCAAAATCATCTTACGAGCTGCAAGTGCTCAAAGAATGCAATGCTAAATCACTTATGAGCCACGTTAGCAATGGAGAGCTGCAGATGCAGAGTACCTTACCTTTTGACAAAACGCCAGTAGACAAAGAAAACCAGAAAAGAACTCTTACCAGTGTTAACCAAAAAACTATTCGGACGAATAGGCGTCCATATGAGACTTCAGCGGGAAAAGCAACCCTGGAAGGCCATGAAAAAGACTCGGCTATCAAGTACCAAACAAAGTTCGATAAAGGGAAAGTAGTTGAGGCTAGATCTACCGCGTTAAGTACACTTAATGACCAACCAAGAAAAAAAAAGATCGATTCTTCCGTGGGTTCTTCGAGAATGGCTGGTCCGTATGGGACTTCATCGCAAAAATCAGCCGTGAAAGCCCATGAAGAAGAAGCAGTTATTAAGCGCCAAATAAGTGTTGACAAAGGAAATAAATTTGAGGGCAGGCCTGATACGTTAAGTAAACTTGGTGATCAACCTAGAAAAAGGAAGATTGATTCCACGGTGCGTTCATGGGGAAAGGCTGGTCCTAGCACTCGCGTGTCTGATGACGAGGACGAGAATGAGGTGGAGAAGGAGGATGATGATGACGAGGAAGGTTATTGGACATATTTCAAACGACGAAAGAAATCGAAGCAACATCACACTTTTGGAAATGTGAAAATGTAAGATTTGAGGTTAAACGTGAGTCTTCCCTAAATAGCCAGTGTAAATATGGCATTCTTCCAATAAACATTTCAATTAATTCCCATTCCATTTGGGGGTGTTTGGCTTTTTGGAACATACATGAGTGATCAACGAAATTTGTGTTTCCCATAATCAAAAATGCCTTGAAAAACAAGGTGTCACAATATTTACTGCTTTAAATATGCTATGAGAAAAATCTTTGTTCGGGCAAAACCTTTTTCCATAATTTCTGTACCTGGTGTCTTATCACAGATACCCTTTCAAAGACCGTCACCTTTTGGAACTCCAACTGCATTAATTGTTTGTCTTGAAAAGATGTCCACATTGTAGAGAGCCAAAGAAATGACCTGACAAACGACGGGAACCAACTTTAGTTGTCCATAGATGCAGAAAGAGTGGACTGTGGTCAATAAACTGAAGACTTCGAACAAACTTTGCATGTTTTTCAAATGTTTGTGGCGTTTATGGTATAGCTGTGGATACCCTTCTAAAAAATACTGATGTTGAAGCTTTTCTTTTCAGCTCAGAGAAGTCGAATTTGCTGATGAAAGGGAAACCCTTGCGACTTAAGATTTTGTTGCACGACATTGGAAAACGACTGAAAGAAAAGAAGTTTTTGAGAGGGCGAAATACGGGTACTGGCACCGTTTCAACTAGCAAGAAACCGAGTGCTACAGATAAAAAGATTCAAAAGACAGGCATAAAAGGACCACTTAAGCCTAAGGGAAAATACACAGCGAGGAAGTCAGCTGGCAGTGTAAAAAGGCGTCCACCCAGCCAGCGAAAACGAGGTAGGTTCAGCAAGATAAAAATGTGAGACGCAAAGGAATCGATCTTCTCCTGGCCGTGGTATAAGTTAGTAGTACGAAGACCAATTGCGCTATCCACCTTTTGAACACTTGGAGCTTGGTTGTTACTGTTAAGGAGACCAATAATATTATCAAAGTTTTGGTAACAGTGGAGAGCGAGTGACCAACTATAGTGACGGCCACCTTTGTCGAACCCCGTTTGAGATGTCACTTAAACTTTGTAATGAAAAGCTCTCGTCGGCAACAATGACTACTTTTGGGATTACCTAACTGGAGTTTCCTTTGTTTTTAAGCTCTTGTAAGCAACCACTCAGTCTCATTCACATTAAAGGGACTGGTTCACGATAATGCGCATGCGCGCCGTTTGTCTCTTCAGAATAAATTTGTCGGGTCAACACTAAATTCGAAATCGCCATTACCGGTACAATCATTGAAAATCCTTCGTTTTATTCGGACATCCGTCGCTTTGGCTGGTCTAGTTATACTTCGGTAGTGGTGATTAACGTGTGGTTGTGTCGTTTGACTGGTTACGTTTTAAGAAGACGCAAAAAATAATGTTTTGATCATGGAGGTTCAGAAGAGCATCGTGGCCGTCTGGCAATAGGACGTTCTCAAGAGTCTTTGGAGATAGAGAAGCTTAGGCTGTCGATCTGGTATGGTTCTAGGAGTAGTGTGTGGCTTACGAAAAGTATACACGACACTTGGAAAGTGGTTAAAGGCATGAGTTCGTTCAACTTTGATTTGATTTTTGACTCCGACCTGTAGTTATACCGCAACAGGCCGCGCGATCTTCACCGATCTGGTACACTTGAAATGTTCCTTGTATCTTTGCTTTACGATCGTATTTGTTTAAGAATTGATGTTTTTAAAATAAATTATTGCTTGAATATTCTGTTTATAATCTAGTTTCTTTATGTGTGCTACTCTATAACATTTGTTTTGCGGAACACTGACCCAATGCAACGCGAATGAATTTGTTCATTTGCTGATAAGCATTTTAAATTTATGCTCAATTAAGGATAATCTTTATACTCATACGTTGTGCGTTTTTGTCACCGGTCAGGTGCTATTTGTAGGTATTTCTGGATTTATATAAGGCGAACTGAGAGAACAGTAATAAGATGTTTGTTTACAAATTTTGTTTGCCGATCGGTGACTGCTTTGTTAGCGTGGGTACGACCTCGTAAAAATACACGTTGGTAAACGTTTGTTTCAAAGCTGGACAGGGCTGTAAATCTTATTCTTATCGGCTGCAACATATATCTGAGGAGTAGCGAAGAATAAACTTGAATTATGGGGATAAATAAAATCAAACCAAATGCCCGGAAATACTCTCGCGTCGGGAACAATTAAATTTACTTGCATGCATCTAACTCGCTTCCGATTGGTTGAAAAACAATCAGCTACTGTCAGAACTCACTCATGCGCATTATCGTGAACCAGTCCCTTTAATCAGCAGTTCAATGCACCGGCAAACTGCGCTGATGGTTCCTTGAGAAGGATCTTGGGGTTATTTTAGTGTAAAAAATTGTGCGCAAAGTTTAGCCATGTCTGTATCAGGTATTCACACTCATTAAACATTAATTTCTTTTTTTTTCTTTAGGAATTTTTAATGATGAGTTTCTGAAGCTCTCCTAAGTGACCACCCTTTATTCGGTTGCTTATGAGGGCATATTCTTGTAAGCAACCAGCTCTAGTTACGAATACTTTGTCGAATTTCTGAGGTGGTCGCTTACGAGAGCTTTGGCTGTCCTCACTAAAAGTCAATGTTACTTAGTTTCTGAAGTTTCAAGTGATCCATCTGATTTTCTTACGCTTTAAGTCGTCCTGGTTGTGATGACTGACTTTCAGCTGCTTTCCTAATCTAATTCCAGAATAATTTGTAGTATTTCACCTTGTCAAATACTTATAGGTTCATGCATTGTTCACCTCAAATGACCTGACCTGACTCGTGACCGTGTTCGTTAGAGCGATAGTCAGCCTATAAATCTTCATTATTTCATCTTTGAACATTTTTGTTAATTTTAATCTTCTTGAGAATGGCGTCACTATGACGCCATAATGTTGGCATTCACTCATTTTTGCTATAGTAAATCGCTGTTGATCAAAAATCTCCTCTCTTTGCCTTATCTTAATTTTTTTTTGTGTTCGAACTGCAACAGCGTTAAATGACGTCACATTTTTCTAAACAATCGCGCAGTGTTAGTAAACGTTTTTGCTGAACATCAACGCCAAATTTGTTTATTTTTAAATTAGTGTTTGTTGTCCTATCAATGATAAACGCGATAACCATCTTCTGTGTCGTCCTCGTCATTTTCCGCCTATCTAAAGTACGTAAAACATATTTAACCTTGTGAATACTACTTTACACCCATTTTTTGTTTTGCCTAGGTGCCACGGCAGCAGATCCAATAGTTGTATCTGATGAAGAAGATAGTGCACTGGCAATGCTCGAGGAGAAAAGGACATTCTCCAAAGGAGACAAAGATCCCGTAACTGAAAATCATTTTTTTGAAGACGATGAAGAAAGCGTTGATGATGCTCTACTTCAAATGATGGATACATACGAAGCGGAGAAAGAGGCAAAAGTGGCAGGTAGTCTAAATGCTACGCTTAGTAATTCTTCCTTGGAAGCTACGTCTTCAAGTAAGACCGACTGTTCAGATGGTGCATTTAAATTCCTTGTGAAACAAGAATTTTCAATTTCATCAGCCGCTGCTCCTCAAGATAAACCTTCGCCTACAGCTGTAAAGGTTAAACACACTGCGAAAGGTTGTCATTCTGATGAAAGAGTGGAGACCTTCACCAGTGTTTTTTATCCGCCTAATGTAAAGGCTGAACTCATTGAGACTGAAAGGGACACCATATTATATCCTGAATTAAGGGAAGAGCAATTGAGTGTTCATGATGATAAACGTTCTGGAAGTAAAGATGAGGCGGAGGAGGACAGTTTGTTCATACAACAGGATTCACAGTGTCCTTCAATGAGCGAGGCCATGGTACAAGATGAACCAAATGACCCAGGAGATATTAATCTATCATCAATAAGTAACCGACTTGAAAATGCCACCATTGATGATGGGACAAACTTTTGGGACGATTTCTGTGACTACAGCGAACTAGTATTAGGTTCTCAAGAGAATGCTTTAGTAAGCATAGAGGATGATCTTGAAGATGTGTATAGTACACAGACTAAGGATAATCAAGAGAACAGTATTGTTTTCTTAAATGATTATAACGGACAGGAGGCTGATGATGAACCTCACAGCGATACACTTAGTGATGATATACAAGGGACTGTATCAGTGTCAAAAGCTGTCAAACGTGTGACATTTTCTGATATCACAGCCCCAGTTACCACAGCCAAGAGTGCCAGCAGATCAAATGGTGTGCAGCCTTCTAGGCCAGCTATCAAAACACCTACTAGAGTACTTAAAGAAGAGCTTTTCTTTCATGAGATTCTAAACTGGAATGTTTCATGCCTTGGAAACGCAAAAAGGAACATTAAATTTGCCAATCCTTCTCCAATACCTGAGGGATTTGATTCCATAGACCAGTATTACGAAACGTTCACACCACTGTTGTTTGTGGAAATTTTGGAACAGGTATGTGAGATGTACATGTAAAACCAGTTCAAATACACCCTTTTGTGTGTGTGTTCTGTGTATCACTGTTGATTGGGATCCTTGTGGAATGATCAAGGGTAAATACACTTTGCGGTTTTGTCCTTTCGCTTCCTTTACAAAAATTCAAATTAAGGGCAGTTATCGTTCGCTTTTCTTAATCAACCAGCATGGCCGCCAACACACTGTTAACTAATCACTTTGCAGGATTTTCTTAATGGCTCGCAACTTGAAGAATGTTTCCCCCGTTTAAAGCAAAAGCGTGAATCTCTCACTCATTGCGAATGTCTCCACAGGCTAGAAAAAGCTGGGAAGACGTCAACATTGATAAGAAGAAGGTGTTTATGAACGTTTCAGACGGAAGTGCTTCCAATAACTTATCAGTTATTCCATGTATTGGATTCATTAGCGAGGATCAACAAAAGAAGGCACTTTTCCCTCTGGAAAGTGACTTGGTTGTGTTGAGACTTGCTGTTAATGATGGTAGAGGTAAGGGTTTTTTATTTCCTTTTCTCATCTGAGTTTATGAATAGTGCATATGTACTTTGGGTGCTTCATTGTAAGCTATTCAGTCGTCTCAGCACTCCACACGTCCAAACCCACTTCTATTCAAGATTATTAAATAAAGTATTAAAAAATAAAATAGCGTTCTAGAGAGAGTAAAAATTATCGCAAAATATCGTGATTTGTCAGTGTCTCGCAGATCAATTATTTGCCGAAGCCGACCACTGACAAATCACGATATCTTGCTCAGCCTCGTCCAATAATTGTTAATTGTTTTATTTTTTTCTTAACAAAAGTCTTTAAACATTTTTGTGACAACAATATTGCTGTAACTGAACAAGAGAATTATGGTTTCGATAACTGTGTTACTTTTATGACAGGTTCTTACCTGCAGCCCAGAGGTCAGTATGCCCAGGTAGTATTCGGTATTGTGGAGAAAGCTGACGTAAAACCCATGCAGTCGTCCCGAAGGTTAAGCTTAGACAGCAATGGAGAAGATGGTATACATAATTTTAAGACTGTTTAAATGTGAATGTTAATGTTGCCTTTGGTACAATATTTCGGTATTTCACTAAACCTTATGCCTATATATTTGCTTTTACTTGCAGATTTGCCAGGTTCCAGAGAGTTTCAGCTTACACTTGAAATCAAAACCTCTTCAAAGTTCCGACCTGTACGGGAAAGCTGCATTCAAGTAGAGTATGTGACATCACTGTTAACAGCGATGAGACAATTTTGCGGCTTGATGCATTTTAGCAAGAGTCTTCTAGTATCTGACATCCTTAAACCAAGAAAAGCAGTTTACTTTTGCTCTGAAGATTATCAGCAATCATCATTCGTGTCAAAGGTACTACGAAGAAAGCTAATTTTGTCACCGTCGACCACTTTAAAATCAGTAATGATTATTACTGCTGTTATTCTTATTTGGTTAATTATACAAAGGGACACAGACCTCTAATGGTAGCGTTGATAACCATTACGTAAAACGTTCAAATACGCGATGCCCTCCCCTTTTTCTCAGAACTTAATTTCTTTTCCTTCTACTGTTTGTCAGAGGCACAAGTACCCAATAGTTCTCAAAAAAGTAACGCAGTTATCTTCATTTATTTGCAGAAGTTCAATCAGTCTCAGGAGAAAGTCATTTCCACGGCAGCAAATGCAATACATCAGGAGTTTCCTTTACCTCGCATATGTTTAGTACAAGGTCCTCCAGGAACAGGCAAATCCTTTACAATTGTGGGTCTTGTTAGAGAGATATTAAATGTAAGTCAAAGTTAAAAACCTGTTTGTTAAAAAAATGTGCTGTTCCTTGTTCCCTTTGGTTGTACAAATTCTCCTGTACACTTTCAGCGTCCCTCTTACGCTACTTTTGTCAACTGCTGCTAAAGTGAGTTTATTTTTTTGGTCGTTTATACCTCCTGGGTTTAGTAAGTCACCTGCATGTTTTCAGTACCGCTTGGACCTAATCCCACTTTTGTCGACAGCTTACAACCACAATATATTTCACTTGATGGTGCCCAATATGTGTCTTTCATTGGAAAATACTGATATTGGACCATTCACTTCAAAGCCCCACAGAACTGGGGTGACACCTTGTTTTCTGCAGTGTGTGTGCTTTTAATATACAGAAATTGATGGTTTCACGTAGTTGTGATGTCACCCTTAAGATTGTATCCTACAGCAACGAAAATTTACAGTAATTAGGCCCATTTGAAGTAAAGTACAAATATATTTCTTTTGTTCAAAGAGGTTGTTAGTTTTGCAATGATTCTTTTATGTCTTGTAATGGTAAGTGGAATAGCAAGGCTTAGTTTATCAAGAAAGAAGGAAAACGAAGGTGTTTAATCGTTTTTTAATGCTTCCCTTACACAGCGGCCACCAAAAGTTGCAACTCAATCAAGCTCTTCATATGGACCCCTAGCCGATAAACATCGTATTCTATTATGTGCACCATCTAATGGTGCTATCGATGAGTTAATAGGGCAAATCGCACAGGCATTGATTCGTCTTGATAAACGGAAAGACGGTCGGGAGAACAGGAAAAGCAACCGAAACAGTACAGTGAAGGAAGGTTGGTAATTGTAAATGCTCACCCCTACTTTCAAGTAACTCATTTCTTTCTCTGTAATGTGCTTGTGGTACATTCTCGAATAACGAAACGTCAGTACGGCAGTCTGTGGATGAATATTTTGGTGGCGATATTTACCAGTCACGAAATGGAAATACCTGTGCGGCCTTTTAAAAAATTCAGTGGTCTAGGAACATGCTTGAAAACGTTTGTTACTATGATGTGACGTTATCCCCATAGGCATGACTGCTTATAAGAGATAAGGAACCACTTTTTCAATACATGGCAATTGCTGGTGTTCACTATCACGTCATCAATAATAGAAAATAGGTAAAGTCCAGAATCTGGAAAATGAAAGGAGGTAAATACGCAATGGAGACGCCATGCTTGTGTACATCGGACTGGGCACCAACATGGCGGCGGGAAACCAACAGAATCGTCTGTCGCTGAGTTTTGCTATGAAAGGAACTCTGAAACATTAAAGGATTCCTTTTTCTAATTCAAGGACTATTCAGATAGGAAAATCTCCCAAAATAAGTCACTGTCTGTCTCATCGTAGATGAAGTCAAGTAAAGACCAGCAATTGCGTGAAGTAGCTGCTCGTTGCCATCACTTTGCTGGTGGGTACTGAACACCAATTAACTCAGGGAGTGCATATCATTTGCATAAAATGGACTTAATAATCGGACAATACTTGTGATTCAAAACAATTCAAATACAATTTGTCTCTATGTTTATGATTTCCAAATGTTCTTGGCGACGGAATCTACGCTTAAATTGCTGGGTTCATGATCAAAATGTCACTTTACGTCATTAAAAAGTGCAGAGGCCCAGGCATCAATAAAACATTTTTTAAAACTTTTTCTTGCTAGTTGTCTCCAGGAATTGCGGTGATTTGTCTTTAGTCCGGGTGGGTCGCAAGTCACACATACATCCCTCTGTGATGAAGTTTTCTTTGGACAGCTTAACAAAGGAAGTGAAGGAAAGACAGACCGTTGTTTCTGCCGTAGGAGATCTCAGCTCCATCAGAGAAAAACTTAAGATTTATGAGCACAGAGAAAAGGAGTTGGACATAGAGATTCTAGAATTAAAGAATTCTCCTTTCCCCGATAATAATACCAAGGTATCTTTTTGTTCTTTTTGGTGTTTACTCGTAACATTATCAAGGTCATATTTCGTTCCATAAGGTCACCTGGCGATTGTATTCCTATTTATATTTCACCCAATTTGGGTTCTTGTCAGGCCACTCCATGCTTTTCCTTGATGCTATTCGTTCTGGGGCCAATTAAAAGCAGTTTTCCCATGATGCTTTTCATACTATTTAGTCTTCTGTTTGTAATTCCCTCACAGCTCTGAATATAAGCTTTTAATAAATCGAAGCAAGTAAACATCCATAAGAGAGTCCTTTTGTTCAGAAACCCCGTTAGCCTTTTATGGGAATCATTTGGAAGTTTATTAAGTAATACAATACAAATTCCCACTGTGAGAGATTGAGCGATTGCAGTAAACGCTACGGGATACAGCTAATTCCAAAATGTCGACAAGTTACTTTTCTTTTCTACATTTCTGTTAATTAGCCCTTTTTACCTCTGATATGATATATATATATGGCATATAGGGTGTCTACCTTATTCCACTGTTAGTGAAGTTTATCTCTGTATTCTACGCGTTATTTGTTTTTTAACAGCTGAGTGACAAGATAAGGGAGAAAGAGAAGCTTATCACCACCAAAAATGAACTTCGCATGAAGTATCGTGCAGAGAAAGCTAAGGACGCTGATAGCCGGCGCCAGGAAGCACGAATAAGACGAGATATTCTAGACTCTGCAGATATCGTTTGTACCACCCTCAGTGGAGCGGGCAGTAGAAGCTTAAAACGTGACTTGCAACAAGCTGGAAGGTATACCTTGGTTGCACTGCCTTCTTCTATCCGTTCGGTTTTGTGCTAATATTCTCTGTTTACTATTTGTAGGCCTATTTGCCCGTTTACCTGCGTTATCGTAGACGAGGTAAGTCTAGGTTACTCCTTTTTTGATTCAAGTTTTAACAACCAAACTTTCCCAAGATGCAAGGAATCAGGTTGTCTAAGCGGATTTGATTTTCATTTCCCAACTGTGGAAGAAGACCCCCTGCTTAAAAACCGTCAAGGTTCTTTATCTTCCCCACGACCTGATAAGGAAAGATGAACGGGATAAGGCTAATAGATTTATGGGACCAATCAGTGACATGATCAGCTGAGGTGATGTCAATTGTTAAAGACGGCAAGCTCACTCTTGGGAGTTATTATAAAGAGGTATAGGGGTAAGTTGTGCAACTAATAAGGTGAAATGGGCCACCGTAATTTCCCTATGTTTTGAGAGCTGGTCTTTTTTCGGAGTCTTAACAAAAGTGTCACCTTCAAAATTCCAGCTAATGAATCTGTTTATGTTTGACAAGTTACCTCATAAGAAATTCTATGGTTGTGGTCCGGTCTGGGATAGAATAAAACAAAAAAATGTGTAATTAAAGCTTCACAGCAATGGGTATTATCTTCTGTAGGCATGTCAGTGTACTGAACTAGATGTCCTCATAGCGCTTGAACATATGGCGTCCAAGTTGGTGCTTGTTGGAGACCCCGAGCAGCTTCCACCCACGGTTCTGTCCATGGTAAGTAATATCACAGGGTCGGTGTCTTTTGTATGACTTCATTTGGTGATTGCACCCACCCGTAACACCAAGAAACTACCATACAGGGGATGGAGGTGGGAAATAAAATGAGGCTGAAACAGTTTTTAGGATTTATGAATCCTCTTTTTTGTTCAGTAATATATTTGACGTTCTCTTTTGTCCATTTTTAGAAGGCAAAGGAGAAATTTTTTGGACGTTCCATGTTTGAAAGGCTGTACAGGTTCTTCAGACATCACGGTCAGTTATCTTCTTATTAACATACCATTTATGCGTTCATGATTTACAAGTATTATTTTCCTGTTTCCGTTTTTTTTTTCCCTCTCTCTTTTTTTTAATTTGTCAGAGCGTTAATTTGCGGGTAGATTTCATCTGATCTGATCTCTAAAATTGTAGTCAGCCCTCGCGCTGCGTGAGCGTTCTTCTTTTACCTCCGGGTTTTTAAATTAGTTTAATGCAATTTAGCCCATGTTAAATCGTGATCAAGCAAAAGCCCTAAAGCTGAAATTACTATGATCGTGAAAACAAGAATGTCGAAAAAAAGTAATAGATGGATTTTGCGCGATCAAGTCTTGTTATTGGAAAAACTTGTTCGGGATAAAAGTACGAACTCCCTGGATAACCTTGTATAAGGAAACAAACCCTGTGGTCGATACTCTGAGCATCCAAGGTTTAAAAAGATCGACAAAATAAGTTGACATTGGTTTCTGGAAGTGCTGTCAAAAAAAGCAGTAAAAAAAAAGCTTGGTGTGCGATGAATTCGTGTGCGTGGTCGTGTCCGATCTAGAAGCAGAAAGGCGTACAGCAATATACACACTCAGGCATACTCACAAAGAGGAACACATTCTCATCTGGACGTGGCGTTGACCTGTGGTTGAGGCACTTGTTCTGTGATCTGGAGGTCGCAGGTTCAAGTGTAGCACTGACCACTTGGTGAGGTTGTTTCCTGGTGGTCCCGAGTTCAAACAAACAAACCAACTGAAGTAGGCTAGACTACTGCCATTCATTGTACAGCCAAATACGAGAACAAAGCGTCTTAGGCAGACTTTCTGCAGGCTTTTCTTGACTTCCCTCAAAGAAAGTCTGATAAAAAGCAGCAAATTCGCCTCCCTTAGTGTTTAAAAATTCTAGTTATATCGCAATAAGTCGGCAAAGTAATAAAACGATCCCCGTGTTTTGGCAAGCGATGAAAAAATTTGCATACAACAAACGCCATCAAAACAATACCCTCTGAATTAACATGTAACATCAAAGTTTTCTGATTCTTTCGATCTTCATGGCGATTATTCCAACTCACATTGTCAAATGTTGGGAAACTCTCCTTAAGTTGAATTCCATGTCACCGCTTGGTTACTTTCTCCATAACGTGTAAAATTAGGCATTTTCCAAAGTGTGCTGCACGCCCAAAGTTGTTGTTTTGCTCTTTGAAGCTCGAACGCGAACCCCGAAAAACTAGCGTGGAGCTCGAGAAAACGACGCGTGTAAGCAGTCTACTGTACCTTTTCCAACTGGTCATCTTGCAATCAGGGACGGTCTTTTTGAACCTCGCTGTCAAATTCACGACAGTAAACAACACACTCTGGCAATTCCATCTATGGTGGTGTCATATACGCAACTGTCGCTTGTTTTAAAGAAACTCAAGGTGAAACTTGCGTACTTCGAAAAATGTGAAATTTGGTTATTATGGAACACGCTTTTTTTCTTCTTTTATATTTTGGAATTTGTCTGTTTTCCTTACAAAACACATGATTGTTAGAGATCCTTCCGGCAAATGTCTTCCAAGTGGTGTGGGTTGTTTACCTTCTACTCGGATGGTGGTTTTCTCCTGGAATATAGATGGTTTGCGTCTGGCAACATAGTTTTTCAATTAGATTGAAGTCATCAAGGAACACTGGAGTAAGGCCCTGTTTGCATTGCGACGAAAAACAGAGTTTGGCGTTGGCAAAAAATTTGAAAATTTTGAAATCAATTTTTTTGTTTTTGTAACCTTGTTCGCCCCTGAGATGAGCGAAATTGTCCGCATAATCAGAAACGTTAATTAAAGCAACTTTAATTGGTCATATTTGCGAATTAAGATGACCTTTTGAAGGATAGCTGTCAAGGATAAAAGGAATTTGTCGCCTAGCAAAAAATTGTAGGCCTCTAAATATTCTCGACGGCATCTTTGACGTTTAGTGACAGTTGATAATATCTTGGTAGGTGTAAAAAAAAATCGTTCGCTTTAGATATGGCTTCCTGTTGACAGATTTGTTTGCTATAAAAATCAAAACTTCCCGTAGTGCGAACAGGGCCCAAGCGTCGGCGGAGGAACTGATAGTTGCTGAAAACAGGAGCATCGAATAGAGGGGAAAACTGAAGGAATACTTCAAATCTGACGTTGATGCTTCACGGTTATAACTCTAAGTGTTCGACATTGTTGCCTCTTTAAATTTTGCGGATGCCGGGCAAATATCTTGCTTCTTGCAATCGATAAAAGACGCTGGCTTAATATACAGGTCGGTAATTCTTATCGAAGGTCTAGAAGGAAATGAAAATTGCGGAAAATCGAAAGTGGCTTATTGTCAGTGCATCTTTAAAACACGTAAGTAAGACAACTCATGCGCAAAAGTTTAGTTGAAAGTAATTATCTTTGGCCACTTAAGAGCAATGGTTGGTCAAATTTGTTCTCATGGAATGATTATGAAAGCTTCCAGATGTGAAAGAGCGTGGGGTTCAGATGTTTTGTTGGTAATTGATATTTTTATTGGTATTTAATCAACTTCATAAAGTATGCATTCGGATGGCAAGGCTACTTGTATAAGAAGGGAAATGAAATGGAAACAAAGCGACAAGTGAGAAAGGAAGGCATTTTGTCTGGATTTTTCGATGGGAAATTGAATTGTACGGGGGGTAATTTCTTAACTCTATAAGACCTCCAGTTGAATTGCAAAGCTCGTATCAACGCGTTCAACTTTGCAAAGAAAGGAGAAATCTGTCTGCGCAATCCAAAGGGACATGAAAGTTGATGTCGATGGAAAGTGGCGTTCATTGGTTGGTAGCTGACATTATTGTTGGTTAATAATCAGCAGCCGAGAGACCTTCAAGTGGATGGTAAAATTTGTCAACATTTTAACATTTTAACCGCTTTTACAAGAGGTCAAAAAAAAAATAGTTAGAGAGAAGCGATACGACAAGTATAAGTGTACTTTCAGCGGAGGCAATATGAAGCGATTGAGTTTTCTGATGTGAGGCGTATTGAACCGGTTTTTAGAATCATTAAAGAAAGGGGGACTTCAGTTAGCCAAGGACGTGGAAGCAATTGCCTCGATGACAGGAAGAGGTTCCACAAAACAAGATTTTAAAAAAAAGTTTTGGTAGGGCGGATTGGAAAAATTGAGGGAATGCTATATAAAACTCCGAAACATACTGAAAGTTTGCAGGTAAGTTAGTTGCTTGTATGCTAGTTCTCCAATCTAGCTGGGCTATTTCTGTAGACAGTAATGGAATCAAAACTCAAACGAGTTGATGTTTTTACAATCGGGCTTTTGAGTGAAGGTTATGCTTTTAAGAGGTGTAAAGGATGTTATGGGGTCTGAACTTTAAAAATAATGAGGGTAGTCGTAGCCATTGAGGTCAATCATCCCTCAGTTATAAAGAAGTGTCTCCGGGTAGGTAGTGGTAGTAGCAGCAGTAAATAAATAAATGTCCGGGAAACTTTGTTAGATCAGTTCAGTACTAATGAGACTGTCCAAATATAGGCGAATCTTTGTTTACATTTCTTTGCCTCATTAATGCATGCTTATTCTCTGATCAAGCTGGTGAAAAGCATTTCTAGATACTGAAAGAGGATAGCAATGTCAGTAATATCTGAAATTTGAGCCCGATTAACCGAATAGTTTCGGATAAATTCTCCTTTATAAACTGAAAATTTACAAAGCAGACGAAATGTTTCATAGGTATTGCTTTCAAAAAGCTGAACATCGTTTTAACTCAATTAGAGGACGCTTTCTTCATAACTCGCATGCTAATAAGCAAATTGTGAACAAAGAGGTCAGCAAAGACTCGCTTGTTGTTGGAGGAGCAGGGGGGCTTATTTAATCGTAAATTTCCTTCCAGCCATCAATCACTTTTGGAAACATCGTTTCTTTTCTCAACGAAAAATCCTTATGATCCGGATTTTTGATCTGATCTTGGATTTTAGCAAAGAAACGCACCCTAAGTTTTCAAAATTGGAAATGTTTTTATTTTTTTGGTGCCGTTTATTCGTCACACACTAATAAGAAAGTTGGACCAGTCGTTAGTACAGGACATGAGAGGAGACGCGGAAAGGCCAAAAGGCACCAGTGAGCAGATTTTAAATATCAGGCTATCACCCCGAGTTCTTAAAATTGTAGCCATCCTCATCTCGCGCTCCTCGAGTGTTCCCATTTTACTTTCGAGTTTTTTAACGTTGTGCATAATTTTTAATCGACTTTAAAGCAGTCTAGCCTATGTCAAATTGAGAGGAATCATGATAGCAAAGTCGCCGAAAGTAGTAAAAAAGAGATTTTCTTTCTGTTATTTAAAACCCCTCGTCTTTATGTCTTCATTGTTCGGGATAAAAATACCAACTCCACAGGTAACATTTCGAAAAAGAAAAAAGAACAGATTCCATACTCTTGGCATTGGAGTTTTCAAAAGATCAACAAAAAGTGTTGGTAGTGGTTTCTGGAAGTGCTTCAAAGCAGCGAAAGATACTGCTTTTTGTGCGACGAGATTCGTTAGTGTGGTCGTTTGCGACCTAGAAGCTGACAGGCGTACAACAATCTGTACACACAGACACCCAGAAACAGAAACAAAATCCCATCAGGAGGCAGTGTTGACGAGTGGTTGAGGCACTGATTCTGTGATCCGGAGGTCGCAGGTTCAAGTGTAGCACTGACCACTAGGTGAGGTTGTTTCTCGGCAGTCCCGAGTTCGGCCTCTTCGTCACTCCGCCTTGGTCCAATCTAGCTGTCTTCAGCTAGTCCTGGTGATGTCTGTTTACATCTGACCATTTAATTTGAATGCATGTAGGGAAGATTGCTGCCCTGTCAAATTTGACAAAATAGCCTCCTACGCAGACGTTCTGCTTGCTTGTGCTTCACTCCCTTCGAGGAAGTTCTGTTAAAAAGCAGCAAATCCTGTCTCCCTTAGTTTACGAAAATCGTAGTTATATCGCAGTAACCGATTCCCGTGTTTTAGTAAGTGATGAAAGGATTTGCATACGTTCAACAACATCGAAATTAACGTGTACGATCGAAGTGCTCTGATAAGTACGAAACACTGTGTTATTTATGGACAGTGGTGAAATGTATATTCTCGGAAACTATTAAGATAAGCGAACAGGTGTATTTTTGCCATCTCGATGCAATGTGCCGATAACGTGGATATGGCAACGGCGACGCCAGCTCGAGTAGCTTGCACTATAGGCGTTATTAGGAAAGTTAAGCTGGCTTGAAATGTGTACTTGTGTTCTTTCAGATTTAATCATGATTATTCCAGCTCACTTAAATTAGCAAGTATAGAAAAACCATCCTGGAGTTAAATTCCTAAGGACCATATCCAAGAGAAAGGACGGTTTCGTCATAGCTTGTCTACCTCCTTCATAATGAGTGAAATTAGGTATTTTCATGAGACAGTCGTGATGGTGACTGTGCAATGACGGTGAAGAAATCTTCAAGAAAGTGTGTTGCACTTCCAAAGTTGTTGTTTTGCTTATTAAACCTTAAACACGAACCCCGAAAGATTAGAGTGGAGCTCGAGAATACACCGCGTGTACTTAGTCTTTTGTACTTTTCCACGTGGTCATTTGGCAATCACAAATTGACCCTTTCTGTTAAATTCACGACATTAAAAAACACACTCTGGAAATTTCATCTATTCTGCTTGTATCATACGCAATTGTCGCTTATTGAAAAAAAGTGACGGTGAAACTTATGTACTTCAAACAAATGAGAAGTTCAGTTTTTACCTTGATATCTTTTCCCATATAGAGCATGGTTTCTGACTCTATGGAAGATGGCACGCTGACTTCCGGAATTCACTCATGCGTGATAAGAAAACGGAACTAAAAATACTCTCAAGTTACTGTTTTCGGATGGTATTGATTACAGGTTGTCCTCTTCTCAACGTCAAAACGAGAAATCACCGACTTCCTTTTGAAAAGGGCGCAAACAGTTCGATCCTTTTGTGCAACCCATGGGGTTAAAACAAAGTTACCAACGAAACTGTTCGCTATTTTCTATCCTCAATTGGGGAAAACACGGTACTTTTCTTTTCTCGGCTTCCTAGGAAAAGCGATCCGCGAAAATCTTCACGGCAATCGATTAATTTATATCGTCCCTATCAGAAAGAACTTACGGTTATTTGGAGGTAACGTGGCCGAGTGGTTAGTGCGCTGGACTTGCAATTTGGTGGCCCCGAGTTCAAGTCCCCCCCTAACCGCTAGCTGGATTTGTTTCACGGTAGTCCCGAGTTCAGATCCTCGACCACACTCTTGAATAGCCGACTGGATTTGCCGCCGGCCAGATGGATTTTTAATCCCATCAAACCCAATCAAGCATAAGTTACGTTTGATGTAGATGATTTGTTTCAGTCATTTTCTCGGCCATGCTAGCCTTTGTGCTATCAGCACTGCAAGGGTATATAAACCAGTTATTATTTCGCATCGTCATCATCATCGTCTTCGTCGACGTTATTTAAATTTCGCACGGCTGATGATGTTTATATCCCCTCTGGGCCTGGATAATAGCAAGTTGCCTGGGAAAGCCAAGCTGTTTCCTTTCATCTTCTCTACACCTCGAGCATGTTTCTTGAAAGCCTTGCTGGTCCAACAGTGCACATTTCTGAATCATTGTTGTTGACACCTCCGCCTCAATAGCCCTCCAATGAAAGGGTTCCGATCCTTATGCCACCACCACCACCGGAATCACCTTTGTCCTTTCACCCCGCAGGTTTAGAACTTCTCTGGGAAGATCTTGATATTTTTCAGCTTTCACAGCTTCCTTTTTCCTCGCCTGCCCATCCTTTGTTATTGGCAAATCTATCATTTGGCAGCACCTGTGTCTCCTGATCACCAAATCCGGTCTCCTGGCCGCAATTCATGACCTGTTCGAACACCGAATTCCTCCCAAAACGTGGTCATTCCTTCTTTCATTCCGCTGAAATTTGCACTTCCCAGCCAGGGCCCAATGGATTGCCCAAGCCACTTTGTCATTTCTCCTCTTTGATTCTTGTGCCAGTTTCGGGCATGAACTTAGAATATGGCTGAAGGTATTAGCTTCTGCTCTTCGATTTGTCAATCTTTGCTTTCACGTAATTAGTACGTAAGCTAGATCCTTAACCGCATTGATGAGAGCTTGTTCTCTCTTTCTTTCCTTCAATCAAGTCCACGTTTCCTGGGTTACATGGCCTTTACCCTATCTCACAAATTTCGAATATAACGGTTTCGTCTCCATTCTGAATTAAGTTCTCCTTGGTCCAAAGCCGGAGGGCTTTTTTTTGTTTTCAACCCCTTCCCTCCTGACTGTTTTCAACAGTTCCTCATCACTGGATTGGACACAACTTTCTAGCGATGGGTCCTCGCTTGATTGACAGAGTCGTCTATGGATACCAGGGCCATTTCTTCGACCTTCCTTGGCACTTGAAGTCGTGCCACACAAGACCGTTGAATGAACTCTTTTGTCCTGTGGCCTAAATCCTGAGGTTCGTGTTTTTTCAATTCAATACCCCCCCCCCCCGCCATCCACATATCTGGCAAGTGACACTGCCCAGTGTCTATTATTATTATCATTATTCTCTTTAGTTCTCTTGTCTTTTTTGGGTCTTCTCAGCCATGATTCAGCAGCTTCCCGCAGCTTAGAGAGACAACGCTTTCCGCAAGATGTGAGAAGTACCAAGGATGGCCAACAACTATGCTCGTCCAAAACTGTTAAGCAGACGTAACCTCCCATACCACGCCTTTTTCATTCTTGGAGATAGCGTACCAATCACAGTGGGTAGTATTGTCACTTTCGTGACTATTGATTCTTTTACTTTTGAGCGCTAAGTTTTGATACCTTTCCACCTTCTCCACCTCAGTAGTAAGGATATTCTGGTCCACTGGCCCAGCTATGTCAATGTGTGCCACTTCTGTGTACCTTTGTGCACTATAGTAATATTTGGCCAATTGTACCTCAGCCGCTTGTCTGGGAAGGCACTCCTGTCCCAAGTTATCCTCTTTTCTGCACTCTGCATTTGCTATGGCTTGATGGTCTAAACACTTGTCGGTACACTGTAACCATACTTTCCGCCAAGTTCCTGGTATACCCGTAGAGCCCCGTCCTCTCTGTCCTCTCTGGGCAAGCTTCCTACATCTGCTGACAGTTTGATGTACTGTTTCAATGAAGCGAACAAAATCTGCGTATAATTGTCTCATAGGTCTTCTCTATTCCGTGTTTGACCGAATTTTTTCTTGAAGCTTGTTCTTGAGGATCAAGTCTTTTGTTTCCTATTTTAAAAACCATTCCTGATCCATTGCCAGGACTCCTCTCCAGCCACATCTGGAGAGAAGGGTTTTTACTTCCAACTCCACACTTTCTCCTCTTTCCTTGTCCTCTAGGAGCCCTGAAGATTACCTTTTTATAAAGCACGTTCTTCCTCAAAGCCATTTGCAGCACCTACTCTGTGCTCTCTCTCTCAGGGAGCCATGCAAGGATTTGCTCTCCCTCTCTACCACTCGTAAAACCAGTCACCCCCCCCTTCCCCTCACTTCCTACCTCGGTAAATACAGTCTGGCAACATTACTTCTGGCGTGTAAACAGCATTTCATTGCCAATATCTTCCTAGTATTTCTATCCCTGCTGACCTGCTCTTCTACTCTGCAGTCTATGATACCTGCACGGCAGCGTAGTACATCTACAGCCCAGGCTTTTATGCCACTAATATGACTTCCGCCATTCAATTTGGATCTACACAGCTTCTTAACTCTTCTGATATATCCCGCTTTTTTCTTGCCTTTCATTTTGGTATTGATAGTCTGGTCCTGTTGAAATTCCCATACTATCTGTAGCCCTCATCTACAACTTCACTGTGTTGGTCATCTGGTAGGTCGATTTCACTGCTGTCCAATTTCCTTCCTCTTCTCATTTCCAAGACACCTTACTTGTCTAGCCAAAACGACATTTTGATTTATTCTAATAACATCCTTACCCCTTTTTGATGCGATGAACAATAGATGGTCGATGGGCCTCATGTCCTCTGCTAGTCTGTATTCAGCTTTCATCTCTCTTAACACTAGAGTCAGTGAAAAAAAAAAATAGCAAGGCGAACAATGTGTCTTCTGCCCAAGCTCCACTGCACGTGATGTCATCACCGTCTTTCAGTTCAGTCTGCTGTTACTGATTATAGAGATTTTATTCTTGGCTACCCTAACCATCTCAAGATTCACGAATAAGGCACCATATCAAAGGCCTTCTTATAATCTGTTCAAGCCACTGATAAGTTTTTCAGCCTTCTTCGGCAGTTCTTCTGCACAGATTAACCTTCAAGCAATTGATCTTTTTCTCACGTTTCCTATTATACAGCTATTATGAATCTACTAGCAAACCATTCCTCTCCAGCCGTAGGTTTTACTTCTCTCCCATGATTCCCGTCATGGAAAGGCAGGCTATAGGAAGATAGTTGCTGGCCTGGTTCCCCTTCGCTGGATCCTTCTTTATCGAAATTTTATTCCTGTGCCCATCCATTCTGGAACATTGCCGTGGCAAACGCCTTGTAGCTTTTCTTGCAATCTATTGTACCTCTGTCCGTCTCTTAAACCAGTACCCTTTTTAATTTGCCATCTTGTTTTTTTAAAATTGTAATGTCCTCCACTGAGATAATAGTGGAGCTCCATAGCTGAGAAAATTTGGTGATGTATCCATCACGTGCCTGTACGTCCGTCCGTCCGCGCCAGAGGGCAACCAATATGAAATCTCAGACTTTCCAGCAAGATTGGAGCATAAAATTGCATGTGTGGAGCTTAAAATCAATGTTGTGGTCAATTGATAGCTGTCAGAACAGAGTATCCGTGGACCATTATCACATGACCGTTTCGACCCATCGAGGTTACGTGATTTTTGAAGTTATCCGCAGACAAGTTACTAGTTTTCAGTTGATCGCTGGCTCAATTTCAAGTGGCAGCTTCAGTGGGTGCATCTACCTCTGTTTCATTTCATCTGTTTTCTGGAACATTAACTTGGCAAACGCCTTCTAGCTTTTCTTACAATCTATTGTATCTCTGTCCGTTTCTTGAACCAGTACCCCTTCCAATTGCCATTTTGCTTTTACTTCGGCGAAGCGCGAAGTAAAGGATTCGCGACACTCAGGAACGTTTCATAATTTCACAAATTAACACCTTACTCTTACCATATTTGAGTTCTTACTGTTCCTCCGCATTTACAATTAATTAGTTCCACAAACCACGACACCGAAGTGTACGCTCCGTAGCGTCTTGTTTTCATTTGTAATGTCCTCCAATGGGATAATAGTGGAGCTCCATAACTGAGAAAATTTGGTTATGTATCCATCAAGTGACTGTACGTTCGTCCGTCCGCGCCACAGGGCAACCAATTTGAAATCTCAGTCTTGCCAGCAAGTGTGGAGCTTAAAATCTATTTTGTGGTCAATTGATAGTTGTAAAAACAGGGTTAACCGCTGACCAGTATGACAGACCGTATCGACGCATCGAGGTTACATGTTTTTTGAAGTTGTCCGCTGACAAGTTACTAGTTTTCAACTGATCGCTGGCTCAACTCTAAGTGGCAGCTTCATTGGGTTCATCTGCTTCTGTTTCAGCTCATTCCTTGCTATCTAAGGTTTCATTATTATAATTATTATTATTATTATTATTATTATTATTATTATTATTATTATCATTAATGTTAGTGTTTCATTGTTATTATTATTATGTTACAAACTTGAGGTCTCAAATAGACGATCTTTGATTTTTCACACACATCACCCAATGTCAACCGAAAGACCTCGTAAGTTATCATCTATTTTGTTTCTGTTGTCCGCTCGAATAAGTGTAAAATTTTCAATTTACTTCCAGGATTTGGGAGTGCCCTGTATAAGGCTATTCGTATCCTCAAACATAAGTTGGAGAGGATCGTTTCATGACGTGCAATGTAAACTCTTACGGACAAGTTCGTTCTTCTGCTTTTCCTTATGCTTATGTCGTAGCTTTGACTAGTGGAAACGGGGTCGACATAAGCACAGGCATAAGCACAAGGCCGTGGACCAATCACAGGTCACTTTGACCCAGACTTCATGCGAACATATCCATCATGTTTATCATCGGGTTGTGGAGAGCTGGTATCAAGAATTGAGTCAAATGTGCTATTCTGCGCGTGCGTATGTTCTTATGCTTATGCTTATGCGCTAGTGAAAACCAGGCTTTACCTAGAGGCTTTCTTAAAGCAAGATTCATGACTGTTTAACTTGTTGCAAAGTGCCGATACCTGAAATAATTTTTGCCTCGCATTTTACTTGTGACGTCAACAACTCCTGCGACACCTCTCTCCCACCTCTCTCTTCTTTAATGAGGCAAATGCCTCATCACTTAATGGCTTCCAAAATATTAATTCCTGTATAAACTTGGTCATCCATGCTTTAAACCCCCCTCTTTTACATACACCTCTTAAGTTATGCGATGCTTTCTGAACGAATTTCCTTTTTTTAATCGTTTAATTTATTCCAAAATTCGAATACATGTATAATTTTTGACTATCATGCTCTATTTGTGGTGTTCTGGCTTTCTTTTTGTTTTTCGGCTATCATTAATCAATGTACTTATGTAGAACATGGATACGAAAGCCTAAAAGCTTCGCTTTCTTGTCAAGATTAGAGAATTACGAGGTCCTTATGAGGGGTGGTCTTCCAGGGTTACCAAACGTGACATCCTCTACTGGCATATTTCACAAGTTTACGGTGTTTAGCAATTGCAACTTGCTTTTGTGAACTCAATTGAAGGCTATGAATTTATAGAAAAGACGCCTGGTTAAACGAAATTGTGCTACTGACACTTGATGCGGCTTTGCACGTGCTACAAAACAGTACAGCACCATGAATATAATCTGAAACTATCCATCTGCAACTTTTTGGTTGTCGCCCGACCGTTCATACGTGCACCCCTTTATTTACCAGCTTTTCTGGACACAGGCCTGCCCAGAGGGAATGTGCACGACTCAGGTCCCATGCAAGGTGCCATCCCTACCCAATCCCACGACCCGTAAAGGTTGGCCACACCACCGGGGTCTACGACCCGTACTCTTTTCGAATAGTGATGTGGGTTCTTTTACTTCCCACAAGAACAAATCAGTGAAAGTGCTGTGAGACGGGACCGACGGGTTTTCGTCCTTATCCGAGAAGACTAGAAAGTCTAATCATTTGCAGATGTCATTACAAGGTGGCACTTTCTTCTCAGTTATTTAAAGACCCTGAGTGTTGGTTCGGCCGGGGTTTGAACCCGCGACCTCCCGCTCAGCAGGCCGGCGCTCTTCCAACTGAGCTAACCAGGCGGCGGTTTATATGCACCGCAGGGAAACCAATATGACATAGCACACTTACCCGCACAAAGGATAATGTTGACATGAAAAGGTCATGGTGTCATTCATTAAGAGTGATATACGCCTTCTATGCCAAGGTCAATCACCAACTGTCAAACATGTTTGATTCACTGACCCGTCTCATATGTACGCTGACCGTTTTTCTTTGAATCGCAGCTTCAAATATTCAGCTTTGTAGTGTTGTGTCTGTATACTTTGTTTAATGTTTTAGTGGAGATGAAATTTGATATTTTATTTTCTTTAGACATTGGCAAGCCAGTACTGATGTTAGAAGAACAGTACCGTATGCATCCAGAAATTGCTTCTTTTCCGTCTCAACATGTCTACAGCTCTCGCCTGAAAAGTCACAGGTTAGATCCCTTAAAGTAGTTTTGCAGTGTTGGTTCTTTAGCAAACAATCCCCAGGGTTTTGTGACTGAGCAACAATAAAGGACAAAAGTATTGAGACACTTTTATAAAATGGCCCCTTTTTGCATAGTGGACATAGCTATCCCCTCCCCCCAAACTCAATGTTGTAGTCTTTCTTTTACTACAAACGACATTGATTCGGGGGTGGGGAATTTACGGCGATTAAATACAAATGAAGAAATAAATGAATGAAATTGTTGATAAAAGCACCCGTTTTAGACAAGTGTTTCAACTCCTTTTTTCCCTGATTGTAGACTAATTAGCGAACATAGATATTAGAGCGCGTGAGTTCGCGTGATCTAATGCAGAAGGAATGTGAACAGTGACACACTCCGAATTTTTCCAGTTATGTTAACGAGCTTCACGAAAACATTCATTTTTTAATGTAATATTGTGCCAACATATTGCCATTCAGTGTGGCGTGAGAATCCACTAAAACTTTGAATAAGAGTTCGCTTGAGTCAAAAAAATATTTCGTTCAGATGATACCCAAAAAAGATTTTCTCTCTTTCGGGAAAATTTTCGTGCAAACTTCAAAGAGAATGTACCTTGAACCACTACCAAAGCCTTGTAAAAACCAGCAGTCGTTGAAGGTTCAGATTTTAAAGTGTACGTTAAACCGATTTTTTCAGCAGCAACGATAATACATGAAAACCTCTTTTTGGTTGGCTTGTTTGCAACTGAATGCTTTAGTAAGAAAATAGTCAAGAAATTAGCGTGCGTCACATAAATAAGTTCACCTTACGGCCGTTGTCACCTTTTCATAGTGATTAAGTAATCTTACACCTCCATTTGCGTTGCAGCTCTGTAGCGAATAGGCGATTTTGGTTGGATATGCACTACGCGCTTTTTGATGTTATTTGCGGACAAGAGATAAGTCAAGAGAGAGGGTACGTACCAACTAAGTCAATTTCTTTAACTAACACAGAAGAGGAATCGTTCTTATAACTTTACATTTTTATAAAACGAAACATAAAGTAGAATTAAAGGGTTGTTTGGCCAATTCTTGCTGTCTAAATTGACAGCAGTCTTTCCTCTTGAAATCACTAAAAACAGCTTAAAAACGTTTGTTTTCTCTAATCCTAAAAGTGCTTTATTTTAGTGCTACAAACCAGTCATTACAATCATCCGTTTTGATACAGTAGAACCTACACATGTAGAATCGTAGTGCTTAGAAGGTCAATTATAATGATGGTGTTTTTGCGGTCATTGTAAAATTGCCGACCTCGTATTCAACTTGCAAATTGCCCCGATGCTGATAAAAAAAGACAAGAATTCTCCCTGATAGAGGGCGTTACCCGCTCCTACCGATAAGTACAGTGACTTGTAACTTGCTTCTTTGTTATTGGTAGTTGAGGGAATGGGCATTAACGTTAATTCTTAAATTCTTTCTTAAAAAGTGCATTGTGGAATCCAGCTGAGGTGGAGATAATCGCTGATTTGTGCAGTAAACTTACAATGATATTGAAGCCAGAAAGTGTTGGCATTATTACGCCGTACAGGAAACAAAAAACGGAGCTTCAAAAGAAACTGCACGACAGGTGAATATTGATTTTGCTTTCCCTTGCCAAGAGACCTCTGTCAGTAATAATGAACCGTACGACGGTTTTCTGTAAATAGGGACTTAGAGTTCCAACGACGCGACGGCAACGAGAACGTTGCTTAAAAAGTGAATTTGCGTTATTTCTCTCTTTGACTTTGGATATTCAACTTCAGGAGGGTTCGCCTACATTTGACCATTAAAGTTGGTCGGAATAATCGCGATAAAGACTTAATGTAGGCAAATTCACTTTTTAAGCGACGTTCTTGTTGCCGTCGCGTCGTTGAATCTTACAAAGTGCCTGTTGCCAGACACAGACGCACATTGTTCATGTGTCAGTGGTTGATTTAGAGCTATTGATAGCATTCTGGCAGTACCCTAGTCTTAATATTTCATTATATGGTGTTGGAAGGTAAAAATCTGTTGCTTTTGAGAAGTGATCAAAGCTGTTGTACTCAGACAGTACCCACCGCTGCACCGGAAGACTGGCTCCCCATTGTAAGATGATGGTGCCTCATTTGCGATGCCCCCTCAATAACTAATAAAAACTAAAACGCGATTTAATTTTTTTTCATCATTTCAAACTCCATTTAAACAAAGCACTTTAGTCTTTTGTCCTCCAGGCTAATCAGATAGGAGGTGTCTAGTATAACAGTAGTTTTTTTTTTAAAGAAAACTCCAGTCTTGTTCTCATCACCTTGAGAATAATTTGTGTTTCTGTGTCTTTTTAGGGGCTTACCTAGAGATGGTGCCGTTATTGAAGTGAACACAGTAGATGGCTTTCAGGTACTTTACAGTTATTAGTGTGGTAGCCAGACAAAGGCTTTATGAAACGTGAAACCAATGCTTTACTTTATTTCCAGGGAAGAGAAAAAGATGTGATTATTTTGAGCTGTGTTCGTGCAAAGAATGTTCGAGGCTCTATAGGGTAAGATGAATCCCATGTTTTGTACGTGATATGATTCTTTTTCAGTACTGTAATAAAAGTATATCCATACATGGGCAACGTAATATTGCGTTTAATTTTGATCTTTGTTCTCAGACAGAGGTAATTGGAAGAGCATACTGTGTGCCTTTCTATGAAATCTTGCATCGTCCTTATGTTCCTTTTCTGTCTGTTTGTTTAGGTTTGTAAGCGATAGACAACGAATGAATGTTGCCCTAACAAGGGCAAGACATGCTTTGTATGTCTTTGGTCACATGGATACTCTGAAGGTAGTGTGTAGGTTTTTAAACGTTAGCAGCAAACAAAACAATTGATGTTGCTGATAAAAATATTGGAATTGAGATTCGCCACTGTAGAAACGAGGGGGAACCTAGGCCGAGTTAACTTCCCCAAAAACTTCTGGGACTGTTAATCGGGGCAGAGATAAAATTGGCCAATAGCTGACGACGCAACCCCAGTAACGATTCCAGAAGCAATTGCGGGACGCATTTCGGCTCCAGTTCCCTTGTCCTTGGCGAGTTAATAGTGTCACAATGACTGATATAAAGATTCATGGCCAAGTTTGTACCACATTTACAGCTTTTAATAAAGTAATTTAGCAAAGTGCATATTGCTAATATGACAAAGGCTTCAAACACAGTTACGCAATTTATTGGTAACAAATTTAGTTTATGTGTGTGGACGAGCCCAACGACCCATCAGGGAAGAGCTTGTTCCCTTTTTACGCAACATGAAGTGCCTCCATGGACGGGATGCTAGTCCACTGTAGCGTTACCCCTCTGGATTTAATTCGCCAGTGCTCATTTATACATCCGGATGGAATGAGGCACCGTGAGACAAAGGGGTCTTGCCCAAGAACACAACATGATGAGCCCGCACAGTGCTCATTGAACCATTTGACCACGGCGCCCTATCCAAGCCTAATGGATAAGTCGGCTATTATTTATAAAGCTCAATACTGTTCTTGTCTTTGCTTGACAGGGTGATTCCAAAGATTGGGGAGCTTTAATTGAAGATGCACAAAAAAGGCACTGTTTGTATCATGTAGCATCTGCAGGGGATGTTCAGTCAGTTCTCTCCCTTAGTGTTAGGAACGATGAGAGGTCTCCTGCTAGAGATCCTCGGCAGAACCATCAGACCGGGTCAGCAAGACGACTTGAGAACACCAAAGTAACTCCTACACTGACAACGGAGAACCAAAGATCCAAAAAGACGGCTAATGGAACGTTCCAGCAAGAGAAAGCCCTTTCAAGGGACTCCAGTGGCAAACTGTCATCCTTTGATAATAACGTGATGAACCGCCATGCTGTGAACAGTGCAACGAATGCTCTGCATATTTCTTCCACGAATTCCGTGAGTACAAAGGAAGTGGATCGCCATAATGCGAGGGAGAATGATTCACGGCAGAGACATCATCAAAACAGCCCCGAAATGGAAGCACGTGAAAAGAACTCGGAAAGACGCGATCATCAAAAGCAACCTGAAAGTCATGCTAATAATCATCACCATCGACATCAGCATGTATCGAAGAGGCCGCATTTTTCTGAACGAAAAGAACAACAAGGACATCACCCTTCTTACAGGAGAGAACATCAGAAGAAAAGCCATGCCAAACACGATTATGTTCAAGACAACATGCGCCACGAGAGGCCAGCCTTGACTGAGCAAAGTAATAAGAGACAAAAGCTTAACGGTGATGGAGTTAGATCTTTTTCTCCAACTGCCACACATCATTCAGCAACAGCATATTCCTTGAAAAATAGTTCTGATAAAGAGAGGACTGGCAACAGTCAAGTTGGCAAACAAGTGGTTTCTCCCACAGGAAGCACTAAGCACTCTAAAGCAACTGGCCCTTGTAACCGTTATTTGGGTTCCTATGAAGACCACTTACATAAAGATGCTCGGCTGACAGCCGCAAAGGACTCGGGTTTGCAACGGGACACTATTACAGAAAGCAATTCATCCTTTCTTCCTTCATTTGAGTACGAAGATTTAAGGTCACCCTCCGCAACATCAAATTCTCCTACTGTCTCCCCAAGATCGCCGTCTGAAACCTCTGCTGGGCATTCTACAGTTACACAGACCACATCTGCGCAACAGTTTTCGAGATCTTGGCCATCGGTATCACGTCGAAATCATAACCAACTACCGTCACACGAATTTCCACAGCAATACGGACGATCATTTAATGGTAAACATACAACCTATTCTCCAGCCCTTCGCCCAACGTCATCTACATCAACTACTCAAACAAGCAAGGCACCTTCCGCAGTAGCATCCGATAGCATGTCTTGGAACCGGTCGGAGGTGTCAAGGCCCTCAGTGTCACCACCATCACATGGAATGCCCGAGGTTGGTTCTACTAGAATTACCAGACAACCATCCTCTTCTAGCCTCTCAAATCACAGTGATCGTCCAATAAGCAGTCATTCACTTGGTCGCAGGAGTAGTGGACTGGATCCAGGAGCCGAACGAGCAGCTAACCTTGTAAGGGAGCGGCATCCTCCTAATACGGGACCTCAGATCATCCCACCAGCCTCGGCCCTATTTGGCCGTAGAGGCAGCAGAGGCGCTCATGCCGCGAGTGGTGAAGAGGTTGAGAGGCTGAGACAAAAGGGAGTCGTGGCGGCACAAGGGCAACAGAAGAAGGATGGCAAGGATCATTCACGGAGAAGCCTAAATAAGCAGAAGGCAAAGTGGGGCGAAAATCTGAGGTGCCACAAAAGTTGGAACAAAAGGTGATCTTTGGAGGTTGACGAGTAGTTTTTGCAGGCTTTTCTGCCCTAAACTGTTCACTTTGAACAGTGCCCAGTCGGCAGGCATATCTTGTGCCCAACCCTACCTTGTTGTCCTGTCATTGTTCGTCTTGTAAATGTATTGTAAGTCAGAAAGCATGATTTCGAGAACACATATATGATGACATAAACAGAGGCAAGCATCTTGGCGTGTAAGAGTAACAGTAATCTTTAAGTAGGCTGTGCTGATACACTTCCGTTGAGTGTGAAGTACAGGGGAATTTCATATTACAGTCGAAGCTCTCTTTTCCAACACTCTTGTAAGCGGACAGTTCCAATCTGAACTATCCGCTTGAGCGGTCAGCGATGGTGATTGCTGCCTCTTTTTCTCCGCAGCTTTTTGCTGTTTGCTTCTTTGTTCGCCTGTGTTTGTTTGTGTACCAATAGACTTTTTATCACAGGCATTGAGCTTCACTATATCAGAGGAAAGTCAACCTCGTTAAAGGGGTATAAGAGGTTTAACTATGTGCCCTTCTCCATTAGTGTTTTGCCTTTTGTGCTTTTTCTTCGATGTTTCTTTCTTAAGGCCTTTGTATTACTTTACGTATTATCTCCTACATCAACAGCATGCTTTTGAATGAAGGAAATAAGATACAAACTGCCCGCTTACAAAAACCTTTTTTGTCAACTAACAGCTTCAGCTGGGGACACATATTGCTTCCCGAGAGTGTCCGCATAAGGGAGCTTCGACTGTGTTTTGGTTTTTTGGGTGACCACTGACAGTTTTAGTTTGCTGGTTGAATGAGTAGACCTACTGCGTGCTTTGAGTTTTGTTTGTCAACTAGTACCTACCCACTGAGTATCAAGCGTAACCTGTAGTTTAAAAATATGACAGTGTTAAGAAAGGTCTATCTGCTGTAAAGCTACATGATCACAACTGATGCGACACGTCTTGGTAGGAACATGGCATTTTATAACAAGAGAGAATGAAGGGATAAAGAGAGAATCTTAGGGCGTTGGACAGGATATGTAAATTTCACTTAAGTAATTTTGAGGTTATAATTAACTATATGTAATGGTGACTGTTGAATAATCTCCTGGCAACACTAATTAACAAATCGACCACAATTTTCTATGGTCTATACTCTTATAGACCATAGAAATGACGTCATAAAATGTTCAAAACTCAAGTGGAAAGCAGCTCATGGTTCCACTGCAAAGTTTTGAACATTTTATGGCATCATTTCTATGGTCTATAGGAGTGTAGACCATGAAAAAGTGTGGTCGATTTGTTTTTACAATAACATTTTTTTTTTTACGAAAAACCAAAAACAAAACAACCGGCGCTACTACGTGACATGTTGCGTTATTTCTATGGCCTATACTCTCATAGACCATAGCTCTCGACCAAGCAGCGCGCGAGGATTCGCTCAGTTATTGTAAAAAAGTTTACGGACCTCTCCGGAAACAATCCTCCTATTCATCCTTTCAAGCGTTTAATCTGTCTAGAAATAACTTTGGTGAAATTCACATACCCCAAGGGCCAAACCTAAAGTTTCCCTCTCCTCTTATTCTGTCTTGGTTATACTTATAGTTACATGTGATTTATCCGTACATATTTTAGGTTTCATGTTAGGTTAAGCATCGTGTTGCATCTGCTTATGTTTGTTCTGGGATCTAATTCGTGCTTTCTATTTGTTTAAACGAACAGTAGTATAGTATCCAGTATTATAGTATCTATGAGAAAGGTGCGTTTGAATCGTGCTAATCCGGGTCAAGATAACTTATTTCTAAGAAACAGATATTTTTTGTATATAGAAAAATGGATATTTACAAAGAAGAGTGGTTATATTAAGCACTGTACCTATTTTTTGGTTACAGTTTTACTCTTATATTTTGTTGAAATAAATCGGGAAAACGTTATATTTTGTGCACACGTTTGCGATGGGGCGAAATTTGAGAAGTTGTGTGAAGGCAGCGATTTTTACCGAATTTGAAAAGAAAGGGGGAACTGATCTCAAAGAAAGGGTGATATATCAAATCTGTAAAAATCAGTAGGTTGTATAATTCATCCATTCCAGGAAAACATTTATTTTGGGGATGCTATGTTGTTCTGATATTTCAGAGGGCGGAATTTGGCATTAATTATGGCAGGAAATTTAACGGTGCTCTGCTCTGAGGGGTTCTATTCTATGGATCTGATGGTGTCATGTCTCATTTTAACGCAGGTTGTGTTACAAACGTTTTCGACATTTTTTGTCAAGGCAAATTTGGTGTCGCTGAGGATAAGAGAACTGACCGCTTACCCGAGTACCAAAATCCTGGTTAAAGTATGGTTAACCAGGGTGCTTGCCTGGTTTAACCAGCCAGGCTTTTCAAGTTGTCAAACCAGGCTTACCAGGCTTTACCATATGTGCAAAAAGCCTGGTGAAGCAGGGTATTCCTGGTAAGCCTGATTATCCTAAAAACCAGGCCTTAAGACAACTAACTTACACTTTGAAAGGTCTACCATAGTTTTGTTCGGGAGCTCATTGCCCTCTATGTGAAGTCAACTGCACTGTTTCCAAAGGACATCCTGGTAGAAGTTGGCACAATTGCTTGCGTTACCTGTCAACCATCCTTGCATGGTATCTTGTCCTCATATGAGCGGAGAGTAGCGTTGGTTCCCCGTTATATTGAAAGCAAACTCGATACAAAAGAAATGTGGTTAGAATATCACATAGAGCACTTATAACACTGAGAAGAATTGGTATTTTGTATCTTTGACCTTTAACTACAGCATTCCATTTGGTATTGTTGAACAGCTTGACGACATTTTGCCTGTGAGCAGGCTCGCTTTTGCGAATTCGGGAAAAATTTCGGCGGCGGAGCCGCTGTTAGGATATTCAAAGGAACTCATGAAATAAATCAGCGGCTTTTCTCAAGCATCGTCTCCATGAGTAGGGTGCTAGTTACCACGCAGTTACTTTGGAGGTTATTAGGAGTGTATGGGAGAGGTTATCTTCAAATATACTTTTGACGGTCCTTTATCAAATAGTACCTGCATTTTTTCTTCTAGAAATACTTAGGCCTCTTGTACGTTCCCCTGGAGACTTCACTCCAGTTCCTGCCCTCTGAACAATCCAGTCCCATATTATTGTGCCCTGGGAAGTATTTCAAGAACATTTGGTGCTTGCTCAACACATCTGCACCTCTTCGCCTTGTCTCTGACCCTCACAGAAGGACAGACTTCAGAGGACCAACGTAACTTTTTTTTTTATTATTTATTTATTTTTTTTAATAACATTTATTTGGTTACAACACTTCTACTGACAATACTTACATTTACATAGAGGGAAAATAAAAACAACGTACAAGAGATAAAGGAAAAATACAATGTTACAGCATTTACAACTAATTAAGCCTAAACAAGTTTTACAAATTTGACTACTATTTGCAAAATTGCAAAATAAAACACGATACAACAAAAACATAAGGAGTCTGTGTCCTACCAACTAAAAGGTGCTTTGCATTTGCATTTGTTTCTGCATCACTTTTAACTTTTGGAACTTTTGGAATTATTTAATAACAGCAAGTTTATTTGTCCGAGGGGCAAAGTTTAAGAGGGACCAACGTAACTTTAGTTCTCTCTCTCCTTTGGGTTTTTGCTTCCGAATCTAGTCCTGCCAGCAAGAAGTCTTACTGAATCAATAATTGACGTCTCACTTACAGTAAGCTCCATTTTGCGAGGAATAGTGATCTTCTGACCAGATTTAGGTATATTTTAAACTAGAGAACACGGACATGGCGTTGACTGGCTCGTGACTACCATGCGGTGTGCACAAGTAGTCCACGTGGTTAGAGTAAAGAACAAAGCCACATGAAAACCAGCTGTTACGTGTTAATCATTATTTTGAGATAAATGATGCCGATAGGTGTTTTAGTACCTTGCAAGAAAATGTGGAATATGAAATGCCTTAAGACGGAATCCATCAGGAAATTGAGTATTTTTAATTTTCAGGGGACAAAAACTTTGTACCAGTATAATTTAAACAATATCGCATTCTTTTTTACATTTTTAAAGGGCTATAGATGTAAATAGTTATCTTAATAACACCAAAGAAAATTTCTTATGGTAGCCCGCGAGAAAAAGAATGTCAAATTTCACAAAATGACATCTTACACATGAAATTTTCAGAATTTTACATGAGAAATAGTCTTTGATGTTATTAAAAATAATAAATTAAATCTATAGCCCTTGAAAAATGAAAAATGTAAAAAAGAATGCGGCATTGTTTAAATTATTCTAGTGCAAGGTTTTTGTTCACTGAAAGTTCAAATTACTCAATTTCCTAATGGATTCCGTCTTAAACCCTTTCACCCCTAGACGGTCACACAATGTAGATTACATCCACGGACTCGAGATTTAGACGTAGATTATTTGACGTGATCATTTACTCTGGTAGTGAAATGCTGGGTTTTAAAAGGTACCTGAAGCGCTTGAAATAAATTGAACGGTACTTTTTTACCCCCCAAAAATCTATTGATCTATGTTATTCCACTAGGGCTTTTGATCATGTTGATTAGGCCTATTTTTAGCAGAGCTTGCCATCTTGCCTTTTATGCGTGTTCGCTTGCCAACAAACTCATTTTCATCACAAACGTCCTAGAATAGAGAAGCGATTTTCCGTGATTTTTTACAAGTTTGGTCGAAGGCAAATACTATAAAAACTAACCATTAAAATTGAATACGCTAGCCATCAGTTGCCAAAGTTTCATGACGTGAGGTGTGTTTTCATAATTTGAAATTCCTATTACTTTTAATTTAGATTGCTCGGTTTCTACTGATTTCTTGTGACTAATATTTAAACGCAGAAAATTATAACTATGCAAAATAACTTAAAAAGAAACCACCTGTCCCTTCATAGAGGGGTCCACCTAAATTGCCGAAATTGTGGCAATTAGGATGAATGTATGATTCCAGAATTGTTTTCCAAGAGTAATTAAAAATGTTCCAAAAAGGTAATTTGTCATTTCTTTTCTTTATGAATTCATTTCGGCTTTAAGCTTATCTGAACCTACATTTCATAACGTGGACTACACTTGAAGACTTGAGTTTGGTTTTCGTTTGTAATGTGATAAATGCAGTTTTTATTTTTTTGGTGTTTTTTTTTATGCCTTTTATTTCATTCAATTGTATTCGTTCCATTTCTCTTTTATAGGTCTTCACATTAAAGGATCGTAATTGTCAATTGGATGGTTTTCGCCGGATATTTCCAGGGGCGATGTCGACATAGTTTGCACGTAATCTTACTCTCAATACGAATATGGTCACTGATATTTTCGTTGGTTTTTCTCTAGTTTCAGCTCTTATCTTTTTAGTGAGTGTCCCTCTAAACTTCCTTGTTTTGTTAGTGTTCTACAGAAACAAGCACCTTTGCAATCCACCGAACGTCTTCTTGATAAGTGTTGCCGCCAGCGATTTGTTTTGTTCTGTATCTACGCTTCCTTTTTACGTTGTAGCAAACGCCTACGGAAAATGGATTTATGGAGATGTTGGGTGCACATTGATCGCATTCGTCGCTTGTTTGTCGGGTTTAGCGTCGTTAATGCATTTAGCTGCAGCATCCTACGAGAGATATGTCGCTTTAGTGCATCCTCTAAACAGTCAAAAATTTACGGTTAGATACGCTGCTCGGATTTCGTTGGCTATGTGGCTGTACGCTTTGTTTTGGAGTCTAATGCCTTTGTGTGGCTGGTCAGGCTTTGAACAAGAAGGAATCGGCACAAGTTGTTCAGTGAGATGGAAATCACGACGCATGTTGGATTTGTCCTATAACATTTGCTTGTTACTGGCTTGTTATGTGTTGCCCGTAAGCGTCATGTGTTTCTCTTATGTGAAATGTTGTAGAGAAATTAAGACTGGAGCGAAATGTGCAAAAGAATTGTGGGGAAGGTCATCCAGCTTTACAAGAAAGACATTTGAAACTGAGAGAAGGATGGCTAGATTGTTTGGTGTCATGACTTTGGCTTTTCTTGGGGCGTGGACACCATATGCGGTCGTGTCTTTTATGGCTATGATTGGTGGACCTCATGTCATAAGTGACGTCGCAGCATCAACCCCCGCATTCCTTGCCAAAACGTCAGCTTGTCTCAGCCCAATTATCTATGTCTTTCTGTACAAAAGGTTGCGACGGCAAATTTATTCCTTGTTACGAAAGGCAAGAAGAGTTACACGGAGTAAATCAAGGGACTTGCCAGGCGGGTAGTCGATGAAAAGAAAGGACTTATTAAGAATGTGATTTTGAAGTGGAAATGAGCTTGTCACGTGACCAGTGATAGACTCCTTACTGGTGGACCCACTAAGCCCCGACGATTCCTTGGGCCTACATCGCGCAAAGGTTGGCCATTTCTCGTTGCTAATACTTTTTGAAGGTCAAAAGGATCTTACCTGAAATTTTATACCATTTATGTAGGATGCAGCGTTGACACCTTGTGGATCCCAGTATAATATGTATTATCAACAACTGAATCATTGGGTAATGCAATTCTAGAGCTCTGATTGGCTAAGCCATCATGATGTATGAGCCATTATACCATGCTATCCAAATATGGTAACTGTACGTGTCTGCTCAAAATTAAAACAAGCTGAAAATCGGTTGTTTTTACAAATGAAGTCGGGAAGAATGTTCCATATTTGTGGGCGTTTTTAACAAAACAATTATTCCACAGTCTCGCTTGTTGGATACGAGATAATTATAGCCATCTCATATCCAACGCGCACTCGTGGAATAATTGTTAAATAAACATGCTATATGTGAACGTAATGAATGGCCTTGATGACCATGAATTTCTCCCTAGCTCAGTAGTTTCAGCGGTTTTACGGGATCGGTGATTATTCTTATGCAAGTTGGGGGAATCCTTTGTCAGTGAGGTCTCTCCTCTGTGACCAATCAGGCATGGTAATCATAGCGAGGTTTAGATTACGTTTACGGCAAACGTGAAATTGTACCACGTGAACAAGGCCCGTTTACTTGTCGTTTGCTAATCATTATTTCTGCACGGGAATAAGTTCTTTCTCGTTACGTTCATATACGAGGTTTATTTTGGCCAGTTTTTATCCGGTCAGTGTAAAACGCAGACTGCGGAGTATTGTTTTCACCATCCACATGAGTGCCTGACAACAATAGTCCCATTGCTTTCTAACTCTAAAAACAATAGTCCGCAGTCAGTCCGCAGTCTGTATTTCACACTGACCGTTTTTATCTGTTCACTTTCCAATTTGAGAAATTCTTGGCTGGCATTTTACGTTTGCCGTTTTCCGTAAACGTGACTCTAAATTTCTCCAATAACAGTAATAATAATTTAATTAGAACAAAGAGAATCCTAACATCCTAAAGCGCAGAAAAAGTTCCGATTTCCAGATGAGATTCGAGCTCACAACCCACCGAGTTCTAGTTCCAGACCCACTATGGACTGGCACCTCAGCCGGCATAACGGTTGAGATCTATGAGACCTCTGAGACACTCAAAGTCACACCACCACGGAGAGGTAAAAATGCCAGGGTTGGGGCTCCCTGCCATACACAGGCCTAAATGAGTCCGTCACTCAGCCATATGGTTCAAACTGTCATTTGCGGCGTGTTATCAGTTGTTCGATTTGAGGCGTCTAGCATGCGGGCAAACTGAAACTTATCCTAAATTACATGGCCTGTTTAAAAAAGGTTTGTTAAAATGCATCTCAGTCGTAGATGTATCTTAGAACAATTTCCCCTCGGGGACAATTAGTCAATTAATGATTTCGCGCCCACAAAGATTGATATTGAAGGTACACATTCTCTTTGTCATAACTTCAAGGGCAATTTAGCACTTTCTCCTCGCAAAAACAAAACCATTCTCGCGGAGACCTAGGAACGGTCAACCAGGTCAAGAGAAAAGGCACGACGAAAGTTTTTAAGCACAAGCACGGGCGAGTGTCACCAGACCATTTCCAAACTGCTCGGCAAATGCCGGCTCTTGATTGGGCGCAAAAACCCTCTGTAGTCTTGTGCCCAATCAGCGAACAGTATCACTTGAGTCATTGTCGTACGTATATTCGTACAAGACAGCTGTTGTTTTGCCATATTTGCCCGGATCGTTCACCAGGGTTGTTCGTGGAAGCATACTTTCGTTTCTATTTTCGTAATAATGATGAAGGACTCATTGATGAATGACTTGGAATAACGTTTCGGATGCCAGCAGCGTCTTTAAGGCTATGTTCACACTGGATAGCATTTGCTGATGACACGAAAAGCCCTCCGGTATAGTATGAACACTTATCCAACTTGTGACTCTCCACTTTAAAGACCGGAGCGGTGCAGCTTCGCTCTGTTATAGAAATCTTACCTAAATTACCGTTCCAGGGGCGGATCCAGGATTTTCTTTAGGAGGGGGTGCACTCGTCTCTTGCTCTACTTCAACACCAATAAACCACATATTTTTTTTTTCTAGAATACCAGTTGTATTAGAAAACCACAGGTCATCTCAGCGGGGAGGGGGTGCGCACCCCCTGCACCCTCCCCCTAGATCCGCCCCTGCGTTCTTTACATGTGTGAACATAAGCCCTATCCGGTACGGTTTTGGTGCCGACGCAAGAGCTATCTGCTATAATGTGAACATAGCCTTGATCTTCGCTGTGCCCACTAGCTGAATTTGCTTCTATAACCAGCAAATACCACAGTTTTGGAGCAGGAAAAGATCACAAGAGACCCGTTGAAAGGAGATGATACCCCTTGTTGTAGTCGAGCAGCGTTTCATGAGAAAAACGTCTGATTACACGTTTAGGGCCTGTTTACATGGAGGTGGGGGACCCCAGATAGGTGAGGTAACATGTGGCGGGTGACCCCACCTATCATGTAAACGTGATCAAATTAAAATGAAGTTATATGAAAAGGCCGGTTACCCCACCAAAGCCGCTTACCTCACCTAACTGGGGTCCCCCACCTCCATGTAAACAGCCCTTAGAGATGGTTTGAGCTCCTGTGTAAACAACATTTCGTAAACAAGGCACTTCAATTTATTTATTCTATTCGATTTATTTATCCTGTGCCAGAATAAATTTGAGTGGCTTATTTACCAGATTCTGTTTTACAAGAGCTCAAACAGTTGTTAAACTTGCAATTAGGCTCAATTAGCGAGAAGCTTTCCTATTTGCACATTTGCATAAAAAGCACCCACGATGAATGTTATCTAACGCCTTGTAATGAATTCACATCTGAACTCTTTTAACATCTTTGACACTTTTTTTTATATAATTATTCTTGACAACGATGTTGGATATGTTGTGGTTAATTTTATCCTTGGTTTAAATTTTCTTTCTGTTTCAAACTCATTATCATACATTAGCATATCCAAAAACAAAAGTAAAGAAAATTTAAACCGAGGATGAAACTGAACCACAACAGATACATCAAAACATCGAATAAAAGCAGGTCCACAGAATGGAACATTTTCTATCTCTCTCATTCTGACACCTTAAACCGTATCTTCTCTTGAAAACAAACATAACCACTCTAAGAGTTTTTTGCTTTCAACAATCTCGTTGTGCTGTGATTGTATCGCCTCTAACAGACGTCATCTTGTCACCTTCTTATTCATTATTAACTGTCATTTAACCCCCTACCCTGCAAGAGTCACCAAAACCTTCATAGTTAACATTCGTCATCTTCTAGCTTCTACAGTCAAGAAAGGTCAAGCGTACCCCCGAAGATTTCATCAATGAATTTATTATTCGATGAATCCGTTGGTAGTAGAAGATTTCAGATTCATATCTGCATTTTTCGTGCGTAATGAGCCTTGAATTCACACGCGAGGCAGTTAATTAAATACCTACCAGCTCAATTTCTCAGATCTTGATGTAAATGTCCTTCAAGCAATTTTAACCATTCAAAGATTTTCAATCTGACCAGATGCAGAGAAGTTCTCGTAAAATATTCACTGCTCATTACGCATGCAGGAATGCCGATTTGAATTTGACACTTGTAATGGAAACGACTAACGGATTCATTTTTCAAATAATCAATTCATTAATAGAATCTTGGGGGTACGCTTAACCTGCCTTGATTGTAAGTTTTGGTGAAGACTACGACTATTGTTCACAAGTCATGATCATGTCAGCTCAGAGTGCCGCCAGAATTACTGATCGTGGCTAGATATTTGTTCTGTTCCTTACGAACACACGCCATAAAACGAACCTGTCGTCGCGTTCTTTTGTACAGAAAAAAGTAAAGAACAGGATTGTAACAGTTTGATGATTTGGCAAAGTATGCTGGTATAGATGCTGTGATGTCACTGATGACGTCAGGTCCACAGATCATGGAAATAATAGATACAACAGCATATGGTGTCCAGGCCACGAGAAAAGCCACGGTCATTAAGCCAAACAAAATGACCATCTTTCTCTCTATTTCGAATGTTTTTCTTGTAAAGGGTGATGTTATTCCCCACGTCGTTTTCGCTCGCCTTGCCGTTCTGTTTATCTCGCGACAGGTTTTGTAATAACAGACGACTATGACGCTTACTGGTAACACAAAGCAAGCCAATATCAAACAAATGTTATATGAGACATCTAGCTTAGTTTGTGACTTCCATCTAACTGAACAACTTGTCCCGATTCCTTCTTTTTCAAACCCTGACCAGCCAAACAAAGGCATTAGACTCCAGAACAAAGCGTACATCCACATAGCAAATGAAAAACAAACTGCTTTTCTCCTTGAGAAAGTTGGGTTCTTCTTGTGGAGAAAAACTAGTGCATGATATCTTTCGTATGAGGCGGCTGACAGATTCATCAATGAAGTCAAACCGTTCCATGTAGCAATGAACCCGATTATTTTGCATCCGCTGTCCCCATAAATCCATCGTCCTTGAGTATTTGTAACGAAAATCAATGGCAAAGTAGTAATCGAGTTAAACAAATCGCAAAGCGCCACGCTAGCGATAAAGATATCAGGAGCGTTTAGAAGCTGTCTCTTTCTATAGAACACAACACAAACAAGACTATTCAACAGCACACTCGTCGCAAAGATAATGGCCGTTATAAAAGCAAAAACTAAGAAATACGCTGGCAAAACCATGTCTGTTGTGGCGTTCACGCGCAAGCCCTGCAGTCTTGAAAACCACTGAAAAAGAAAAAAAAAAACCAGTCAAACAAAAACCTGATGATATACCAAATCCAATATCTTAACACTGTTCTTTAAGTTGCAAATGATGTGTTAAGATGTTAAAAGTTCTAAAATTTGCAAGAATTAGCTAATTAGCCACTGTGTGGACGTCAACCTTGTTCCCAGAGCTTTTCCTCCAAAAATTAGGAAAAGCCCTGGTAACGAGCTTATGTTGACGTCTCTTTTTTGATTTAGACCTCTGCTTACAGGCTATTGTTTATTGGCAAATCTATGTAGGTAACTTTCGTACGCCACACTTTTGCAAAAAGTAAGTGGCTGATCCTGGTCTAGTTTATGCGTCCAGGGGTCTTTTTAGCACTGTATAAGCGATGACTACTCCGGACCCGGGATAGATCGCACGTTAAGTGTGACATGCGTAATTCTAAAGATAGCCACCAAAATTAACCACCACAACGTGCTGTACGTGCAGTTGACTTAAAGAAACCGCTTCGAAATCACCGTTTTTATTTGTGAAAAGAGCTAAAAAAAGCCCAACCCGACATGGTTTCGTGTCGGCGCAAGAGCTATCCGGTACAGCGTAGACTCAGCCTAAGCCGTGATTTCGTGATTTTACTTATCGCCTACATTCGGTTTCTAATTAATGTTATCGCTTAGGATTCCGGAAATGCTGGATTTTTTTTTCATGACTTATCATAAGAAGTAAGGCATGTTCGAGTTTGGATTCGAGTTCGATAGTTAAACTTTGACTGAGTTACCCTTTACAGCGTGGATTAGATGTAGTAGTCTTCCCAAATGATAACAGACTGCATTCGACAGTTTAGGATTAAGGTCTGTGTGACTTTGTTATGCGCTAGGTAGTTACCCAAACGGAGAGATCAAGTTGGTGTCCATCCGAGGATCAAGCAAGGCGTGTCATTGCGGGAATGCCAGGGGTCAACGTTCAAGAGTTCATAAACCGAGAGAAACACAATAGTTATTTATTCCGAGACATGGAGAGCTTAGATTGCTTTCTAGGCCCCCCATTTTAGTGCAGTGTCACACACAGCTTTAACATTCAAAAGTACCTCATTCACAAAACAGCCTGTTTAATTAAACTGAAGAAACTTGTTAAAAGATAAGTAGTGTTCAGATGCTCTAACATAAGTCTCCGAAGGATCGACGGATTCTTAGTTTAAAATTTTATTTATGTCACATGCAAACCAAAAGAGTCATTGAAACACTTTTGTCGAGGAATAAGAACAACAAATGCTTAAAAATTTTGTAAAATATGTTTTTTCTTTCTAAAGATACACCTAATTGCAATAACGTTGTCATAGAAAAAAGCAAAAAGCAGAAAGCCAAATGGGAATTAATTAGCCATGTGATTTACATTTGCGTATTTTAATAATTTAACAATTATTTAAGAAGTCATTCACAATAACAAGAAATAATTCTGTAATTCCGCGCTGTAAGATTCCGCACATGAAACACTGATGTGTGTAACAAAAGGGTCCTGACAAACGAAGCTTGGTTTGTTGCGCGGGAGAAGGAACTGGCGGAGGAACGCCTCACCCTCTCCGCGATGGAAAGTCCTGCCTAAACCCCTGATTTGTTGCTTGAAAATTGTGATCTGATGGTGTTGTGCACTACAAACCATACGCAGACTGGCTTTTCTATTTAGCATTAAACGAAAAGACGCGTCGCGTTCCTGGAATTTACCTCAGGCTATATTTATCGAAAAAAAATGGAGCCATTTTTTCTTTAGTAGTTATCCGATGTACGTTTGTAATTAGAGCACGTTTGAAATCCGCTAGATGAATCAGCCTCGAATTGCATTAGAATGACACCAAGAAACTGATGCAAATGATTTGGCTTCCATATTACGTGATTGATATTCAGCTATAAGCGTGTGTGTTGTGAATGTTGCAAGAATGATAATTTAATGCTAATTAATTCCTATTTGGCTTTTTGCTTTTTTCTATGACAACCTTATTGCAATTAGGTGTACCTTGACAAGTCTTTATTCTTTACCCATAACAAAGAAACCCTTAAGAAATCATTGGTAACTGAAGGTATAATCGTTCACGTACAAAACTTTAAAAACTTTACAACTTTTAAAAATTATTTATCATTTCAGTTTTTAAAAAAGCACAAGGTAAAAGTACGTTTCAGTCGAAGTGCCTTCTTGCTTATTCTCATCTTTGAAAGCAATTTTGTTAAGCTAATTAGCAAGGAAAAATGACATTAAAATTTTATATTTTATCAATTTGCACAACCAAGAGCCATAATAGTCCTATTATGGCTCTTGGCACAACGTAGTAACCAAGTGGGCAAAAAAATATTATAAACAAACCTTTCTCCGAATAATGGTTCCTACTCGAGCATTAATTAAAGCTAGCTAAAGTCTACTGCAGATAATATTTTGCACTACACCGGCATGTGAGAATGTATGGACAACCACATCGCCTTTATTCCACCTCGTTCAATTTTTTAAATGATGGCGATTCCTCTGGAAATGAATTCTAAAGGACTAGTTTAAGTTTAAAAAAAAGAAAGAAAAGAAAATTGTGGTCTGCTGTTCACTTCCTCTATAAAATATGAGACATTTTAAGCCATAGTCGGGCAACAACGGCCACGGACAAAGAAAGCGTGATGGACGTGCAAATTAAGTTGTTGTTTTGCTAATTTAAACCCATTGTTGTTCCCGGTCTCTTTTGTCGCCATTGTATTTGCTTAAGCTCCCTACTGTTTGAAGGCCCTCCAACCACCTCTGTTTTAAGAGTTGTCCAACGTTTAGAAATACTCTCACTTACAGAAAGACGTTCCATACTGTTCTCAAGGACATACTTGAGTGGCCGCAAAACTCCTATAGGACCTGTAGCAGGTCATTATAAAAATCCCATATTACCTTTCGGTCTTGGCTTAAACTTTTTGCTTTTCTTCCGACAATGTTTTTTGAAATAGCTGTATACCTCAACAGATACTAAAAAAATCAAATAAAACGTTTCACTTACCCGATGAGTTAGAGCAAGGAGGTACCACAAGCCTACCACAAGCCTTTGATTTGTTAAATTGTCTGTTTTCTCACATAAATTAATAACAAATCGAATATTATGTACAAAACAATTTTGCTAAGAGATCCAAAGGCCTAAAAACAATGTTAAGAAAACATAACAGAATCCAATTGAAGGTATTCCGCGCAGAAAACTAGTCAAAACTTCATCTAACAAACTTCTTGAATTTCATGACGGGAGAAGCATCATGACCCTGCTAGCAGAGTCGCTTCGATCTTTCCTAGATTAGTCGGGGAAGAGGAAGCGACTCGGCAGAGTTTCCCTCCTCTTCCCGACTTATCTAGGAAGATCGAAGGAGACTCTGTTCGCAGGGTAAGCATCATCGAATTCCGTTATGATTTGAATTTCATTCTAACAAATCTAATAACTTCTGAAAAATTTGCTATAAAACAAACGCTCAGATTTCAAAAAGTATAAAAAGCTAAAACAAATCGGATTTAATAATGTATAGCACTTGTAGCAAAATTCAATTATTATCCAAACATTGTCCAGCGACCTAATACTCTAATCTCATATTAAATGGGAAAGGACCCAAAAATCTGAGTTTACTTCCGTTATGATTATTTGATTAGCCACAACTCTGATAAGACCTGATAACATTGGACATGGAGTTGACTATTTAGAATTTGTATAGCCAGGACAATTCCCTACACCAAACAGGAGCAAAACAAGTATGCCAGAAAGATAAATTTTAACATTTAAATTCCCGCAAACAATTCATTACCAAAACCTCATTTCCCGTAAAAATAAGTACGTTGTATAGGTAATCACATGATTTCGAGTACAATTTGGGATAAAGCACAAGTAAATTTTCAAAGACTAATAACCAATACGGGCTCGTGCAATTTGTGGTCTTTGAAAAATTTACGAGTGCCGATTTATACCAAATAGCACGAGAAAAATCGTGTGATTTGACTTGCTTTTTCTCTTTTACGTGTCACTGATTGTCACCGTTCCCTGTTCCCGCCTACAAATGATAACCTCGACTTTTAAGATTGGTCAAACTTTTGACAGGTGAATATTGATCGATGGATAAAAACGCAGCAACTAAAAATTTGTTTCCGAAAACTGAAGCTTTTTGTCATTTTGCGTTTTTTATAACTTTTCATGTTTTTCCACTACCGCCACGAAAAGAACTACATCTGTTATCAAGATTCCTTTGTTGTGTTTTGTTAATTTGGGTTTTGGTCGAGAAAAGCGTCGCAACGGAGGTTTCATCGATGGCTGTTTTTGTAGTTCATGCAGGTTTTTACAGAAGAGTTAAGGGAAAAACTAAAGCGTTTCTAACCTCACTTACTAGCTTTCAGGAGTTGCATCTCATGTGAGTTTGAGTTATTGCATTTGTTGTCTCGTTTAACAGCGGGCATAATTATTTAAAGTTTCTTACGGTGACAGTCGTAACTAACTTGAGACGATGTTTGGCGTCGTGTATAAAATACGCAGAGATCTACACACGCTTTAAACAGTTTTCTGACTGTTAATGAAAAGGAGACGTTCTAAAGAAACTTAGTTGTCGTGATGGTTGCAAAAAGAAGGCTTTAAGCAGGGTATGTTCATCTAGTATTCGCCTTTCAAACGAGAAGCCGGCTAAATAAGCTTACAAACAAACAGAAGGTCAAAGAAAACAAGGTTTCTGAGAAAAGTTTTTCCGCACACCTGCAACACTTTAATCACACTGCTTTCTCCATTTAATGAAAAGTGCTTTTGTTTCCAGACATTTTTGACATTTTTCATGTTTTGACTGTCAGTCAAAAATCTTGCATTTTGCTACTTGCACTTGCACTTATACTTTTTATTTGAGTGCCAATGTATTTAGCACGAAAGTTCTAATTGGGGACACTATTTTTACGTCTCCTGATGGAGACGGGACCGCCATTTGAAGTGGTCATCCGAGCCACGCGAAGGTCTCGCCGCTTGCAGTGCAAAGAAAGTACCTTCATTTCTCAGTCATTTTAAGACCCTGAGTAATGGTCCGGCCCCGGGAATCGAACCCGCCACCTCCCGCTCTGCAGTCAAACGCTCTACCGACTGAGCTAATCCTGCCACGGTTGGCACTTGGCTTTTGTTTCTTCTGGTTTTTTTCTTGGACTGTGAGTCAAAATGCCGCGTGAATGAAGCTAAAATAAGAATTGCTTTATGGTTACATGGCTGGGGAGTTACGTCTATTGACACATTCTTCATCCCCACCCAAAAAATTACATAAAAGAGTTGTCGATTATTCTATTGACAGACCCTTAACTCACCTGAGGCTGACAATCATTTAATTTCAACTTTTTGCACTGACACCAACTGTTTGGGATTAATCGACGTGCTCTCAGCCAATGATCGTGCTGAAATTGCTGGGTGTATATTATTAACTCGGAAACTATTCTGGACATACCAGTACTGTCAGAAAGATGAATTATGAAATGTGAAATCCCTACCCTTTTGTATTCCTACAGCCCGAAGAAGGTTCCCCTTTATGGCCAAACTTACCCGTATAGGCCATGTATAGGGAGCACATCTAGAGCCTGTCACCTACGCGAGACGGAGGCAAGAATCGTCTTATTCTCTTGTAGTCAGCGAATACTTTGTACGGCCCAATTAGTTTTCACAAGCGCAGAATTATAAAAACGGAAGGCCTAATCAACAAGTCTGTCAAACAAGTTCATTCTTACGTAGTGAAGCTGTTCCCATCGGGAATCACATAAACCGTGGCAAGTAGCTTTTTGCTTACGGTCGAAAATGTTTGCTGCTCGGTTTTATTCACTATTCGGAAAAAAGTTACCCAGTGAAATTTCGTGCTCGAAAATCTACACCATGGCCAAAATTATAACCATGACAATGAATGAATGATTGTGTAACGATTAAAAGTGACTCCGAACAAGAAGTTGCATGCAACTTGCTGAGAATTGCCGAAGACGAAAACTGCATTTAGCGAAGGCAAAAGTTGTTTTCCTTAAAGCACAATAAATACACTATTCCTCAAAATTCGGAAGCTCATACGACGCCAATTTTATGCATGGACGATTTAATCTCTGAAGTACTGAAAAGTTAAGTCGGACGGAACCCAGACATGATGTCCGCCATAAAGCCTTCGACATACCCTCCTGTTATGTTGTTTCACTAAAGCCGGAATAAATACAAGACGTGAATTCAAAACAGGAATGATTTAAGATGGTATCGAAACCACAAAACGCCGACAATTTGCGTAAACAATTTACGTTTTAGTGGTGTATATACTGTATATACATGTTGCTATATGCCACAACTGGGTCTATCTAAAAAGAAACCCTTTTTTCCCCTTCTAATCGCTTTAGAATATATCTTAACGCAGATACAATTTTTTTAGGAAGATTCGCAGAAATGCTTGCGTGAGAGTCAAGGCAACTCCGTATAACTTGCAACATGAGTTGTAGAAACAGATTTTTTAATCTATAAAATGTGTATTTAGTGTTGTGACCAAGTCCTCTGTCAACACGCAGGTACTTGGCAACATGAACGATACTGTATGTCATGGCCGAAAGTTTTAAAAACGAAACCATTTGGACTTAGTCAATTTGTAACATGCTTACGTTACCTGTTCACCTACTGAGACGGGACACTTACCTTTTGCTAAACGGAAATTCTTTCTTGTACAGTGACAGACATACAAAGCGTAGCTTGTGATTTTTACTCAGCTTTTACAAACGCGTCCATCTCTCTTTGCTCCTTTTCTCTTTAAAACACCCAGACAGTTTTGACGAATTCCAGTTTCCTAATGGCATTATATGGCGATTAGCTGAATTAAAACTATTTTCATAAATGGATAAAAATAAGCGCAGTTCGGATTTCAACGACAATTGTGCCACTATTCCTAATTTCCGTGTCTGTGCGAGGAGTTTAAAAGAACATCATTTATTAATTAATTAATTTCGTGTCAAAGTTTTAAGTAATTTCACTGACCAATAATGTCAATAGTATTTATTGTTCTATGGTGCTTAGTTATATAAATCTTTTAATGGGCTTATGAACCGTCTCTCGAGATATAAAACTGCTGTTTTCCACAGCCGGGGGCTGTAAAACTGGGCAGTAACACTGAGTGGTTATAAATCAAGTTAAACGTTTTGCTCCCGTCAGCTGGGAGACGCAACAAGCGGCCTTATCTATCAAAAACAGACCTTGATGGTGGGAGCTTAGAGCCTTTTAATAAGGATTTCGTTTATCTTATCAGGGCAAAGAACAAGTGCTCAGTGGAAAAATTATATAATTGACACATTTTATTCAAAATGCTTCATGCTTCGTTCATTCTTTTCATGTTTTCCCTGACTTCAATTCTGTTACTTATTTCACAACACCAAAGTGTAACAGCATTAAAAATAACTGAACAAGACATGTTTAAAATATAAAGCGAAGCCAGGAAACCAAACAGAAATTTTAATAAATGCTAAGATTTTTGTCCCTCACAGGAATTGTTCTCCCTAATATTTGCTGACTAATCTCTCTTACAAAACATACAGATATCAATTAAAGAGTTAAAGAAATCATATCCTGCGCCTTGTCATTTTGTGACGAAATCACATCAGCTTCTTTGTCACAGTCTGTTACAGAGACACATTATTATGACTGATAAACAAAGATTCTGAACATATGTACTTCTGCAGACGTCCTTCCGCAGACGCCAGTTCCTACCGAATTTAATGAGGGGCTATTCACACTTGCTGTTCGGGAAAGTGTGCTTAGGTACCGGCACAAAATGGTGTTGTGTTCACACTTTGAGTACCCAATACGTGACCTTGAACGTAGTTAATTCATTTCGCCCTGTCAGACGCCATTTTGAAACCTGAGCTAAGCAGCGAGAACAAAGCAGACCCGAGTACAAGTTCTCAACCTTGTACTCGGGCACCATGCCGGTGCCCCAATTCTAGCGTGGGTACTTGAAAAAAGGGTGTGCTCACATTAGTGCCCAGCGAGTACCGTAACCGGGCACCGTGGCCGGGGGGCAAGTGTGAACGCTGCCTAAGTTATTTAGCATTTTTCATATTTTTACATTTACATAAGGGACCTCCTCATAACTTGCCCTCGCTCGGCAACAAACAAAACAGAAAAGAAATTAAACTACGAGAAACGTTTCGGCGAAGGGAAACAAATCATTGATAAAATAAAGAATATATTCCATACGCTACGAGCTTTCGCTTCTGAACTATGTCTTACTCACTGATACCCTGCGAGCAGAGGACCTTCGATCTTTCGAGATAAGTCGGGACTTATCTAGGAAGATCGAAAGGTCTCTTCTCGCAGGGTAACTCACTGAATGTTTAAGACGTGACCTGCGATCATGCAATTCAGAAATGTTCCTTATCACGTGAGAAATCATTCTAAGGAGTGCAAGCAAGCTTACAGTTCGTCAGCATGGTCAACAAAAGCTCAAAATTGTCAGTGAAGCGTAGCGTCTAGATTTCATACCGTAAAATTCCGAAAATAAGCCACGGGGCTTATATTTTTCAAAGGCCCTTTTTAAGGGGCTTATTTTTGGAGGGGCTTATATTCGGAGGGGCTTATTTAAGGAGGGAAATTTGCGTTTCAAAATCGATTGGGTTAGCCTTATAGTTGGAAGTAAATTTACTATTTTTGCTTTGTTTTACTTTGTATTTGGGAACAATTTTCCAAGTACAAGCCCGGGGGGCTTATATTTGGAGGGGCAATTTAACGGAGGGTTTTTTGCGTTACCGGTTTAGGGGGCTTATATTTGGAGGGGCTTGTACATGGAGGGGCTTATTTTCGGAATTTTACGGTAATTTTTTGGTACACTTCAATAGGATGTTCTGGAAGAAAAACGTGCTTCCTTGAACAGGCATGTTTTTTTTAAGGTCAATTCAAGAAGGTCTCAATGGAATTCACCGTTCGCGCTAAAAATGGCCGGAGTAAAGGTGATGTTATACGGAACGATACACAACGACGATTTTTAGCGCAACACAGCATTGCAATGTTGGAACAACGTTGCAACCATTCGAATCAGTATTAAAACAATGTTGCAACGCTGTGTTGCCCTAAAAATCCTCGCTACAAATCTTCTCGTGTAACATCACCTTAACAGGCGCAGGTTTTTTCAGGACCAAGGGAGCAATTTCGGTCGAAGACGCACGCGCGCGCACGAGGGAAGAAAAATAGAGGCGGCTCCATAAAAACTACATAACCAACCAGGGCCTTCTACGCAGGCTACCATAAAACATCCAGTTATCCGTCCAAATTCTTTCTAGCCACATTTTGTAATGTGGAGAGTGTCTTACCTCATATCTATCCTCTTGAATGGCTTGTACCGATAAAAACGTTTGAACTTTTTCGAAACAATTGTCATTTCTGCGTCAAATGGTCTCAAGGTAGGTGCAAGCGGACGCAGCAACTCCCAACATTGTTGGTCGGGTAGCTAAAAGTTTGACCGGTGTCAAACTTTGTGCAAAAACGCCCAACAACATGCAGAAAAGTGCAACAGGGTGTGCAAACGGACGCAACATGTAACATCCAACAATGTTGCGTCCGTTTGCACGGGGCTTTGAAGGTAACGGAAAGAAATTAACCGTTAGCTGTAGAAATGTTTAAACGAGGAAATAATTTATCCAAGTTCAATTAGTCTCCCCCAAGCAGCCGTTTTTGTCTCGTCACGCAACGCTCCTCCCTTGGGAAGAGCGTTTCTTGACGAGTCAGAAATCATAGGTTTAATCAACGCAATTTATTTTTAAAAGCAATTCGTACGCCGCAGATTGGTTTCTTCTCTTCTCATTCCGTCCTCGGGATTGTTACAGAGAGTCAAAGTTCAGAAGCCATAGAAACAATACCCAGTACTACTTCGTGTATGACACAGTGAACTTTACGCGAGCAAATGATTTCCCATAAGCCTTTATGGCTTCTTGTAAATGCGTTCGAACTAAAACTTGTCATGATTGGCTGAACTAAACCACTAACCAATAGCAATCCTTGTGATATCTCGGCAACAGAAATGTTTGTACTTTTCAAAAATGGCGGCAGCGGAACCACATACTCACCAAATACTTTCTTGATAAATCTTTGTCTTTGAAATCTTGCTCTTCGTACAAAAATTCCCGGTAAACTATTCCAAAGTATATTTTGTTCTGTTTCAAAATGCC